GCTTTTTCAAATCCCTTTGTGTATAGCTACACCAACCATTATACCATCTCAAAGTAAGCAATTCTAATTCCACTTTAACTGAAAAATGATACAAGAAAAATAATCTCCATAACTGAAACAGTACCTCCACTTCACTTGATTTTAAAGATCCTCAGCAACTCTTACGTTTTGCATCTTGGTGATCTTCTTGAAGACTGGATCTTAGATCTTTTTCAGCACTATATAAATCATCATTACTAGCTATATTGAGACCACACCAGGTCTGATCTTGTTCCTGGTTTAGATTTTTCCAAAGTTAGTATTCAGGATGGGTTCAGGTCACTTCAGATGGTGCTGTCAAACACAAAGGACATACTATTACATGCCCTTAAACAAAGAATTCAGATCTGCAGGGAAAATACTGACTTCAAACAGTTTTTGAAGCAAATATATTACAGACTCCAAGCTCTCCCCTCTTCCAGTCTTTATAAGTTCTCCCTATGCATAATAACCTCAATTTTGTCCTTTGACTAATAGAAAGGGGAATCACTTCTACTGGTGCCTATAGCAATTCATTTAAACTAGCTACATGATACAGAGGGACAAGATGCTTCTACCCATTGGCTACATATTTTGAGCAAAAGCACTCAAAGGAAACCCAGCCTGAGCCACTGAAGACCAACATCTGAAGGGCTCCAAAGGCTCCACCTTCCATATGACTTACAGAAGTAACTTGGCTGGCACAAAAATCCAAACACTTTATCTAGAGTTCTGTGAACCTCCCTCCAACTCATTAACTGGGACAGATTACTTCATCTGTTAGAAAAGCACAAAACACCCACCCCAATAAGTTGTTTGTACACTCCTTTTTATTTCTAGCATTCTTCACTGACTGCAAGAAAATACGCATTAGAACTTTTCCCTCTAATTTTGAAGATCATTCAAGCACAACAGGCCCTCCATACTTCTAGCTTCTCCCAAACTGCAGCAAGAAGTAAATTTATCAATTATGCTTTTCTAACATGATTTGCAGTCAGATGCAAAAACACATGCTTGTACAATCACATCCCAAACAATCAGTTACTAAATATATATTGTGTATATAAACTGTTTTACAGACACATTGACCTGATCAGTGCCTGTGTCTCCTGGAGTACCACTTCAGGGCTAGAGGGACACTATTGCATTTCTATACAGTACTTCGCTAACACTAATAAAACTACAGCAAAACTAAGTTACAAGATTCATGTCTTTTCTAACCCTAGAGAAACCAATTGCCTCCAGGCTTCTAATTTCTGTTCTTTTTAAACAATGAAAGATAAAAAAATGCCCTTGGCTGATGCACTATTCCCTGTAGTCACAGGGTAAAGGCACACTGAATTCCTTAGTGCTGACTCTTATCCTCCATTTCACATTAATGAAGCAGTGAAACCCATTACAGATGCCTGCACTGTGCATGATGTACCAAAGGCAAACATCATCACACCACAGCTGTCAGGTTGTGGGAGTGAGAAGCCATAATACATGCTGTTACCATGGTGCCCCCCCGCTGCCAGAACATTACAAACAGGATGAATTATCTGGTGTGCACTGAAGTAATTTTACTCAGCCTGCTAAGAGATTATTTTTATATGAATCTCCAAGTTCTCCTTACAGAAATCCAGGTAAGGATTTAAAGCAAATCTCACAGCCAGAACACTGTCAAAGAAGATGCTTTACAGAGCGATAACCAATGAAGAAGGTACCTGCTCTGTGTACTTGATTATAATCCAGGTTTCTCAGTCATGGTATGCAGTTACACTAGCCTATTAAGGCTCATTCAGACTGAGAACAAGCCACCAGGCAAGCATTTGTTTTCATCACAGCTACATGTTTAAAATCTCAAATATTTCAGATCTTTGCAGGAAGCATAAGCTGCAAGCAAAACAAAACATTACAAGCATTTTTGAATAGGACTTGTGTTGTGCAGGGTAGTGCTCAGACACCATTTTGAACTCAAGTTGCATATACCCCAACAATGCCCCAAAAAAAAAAAAAACCAACAGAAGTGTTGATATAACATACACAGCCTTTTAAACTGTTAAGGAAGTTTATTCTTCAGTCACCAGTAGAAGTCAGTGACACCTAACTGAAATAGCAAGAAACAGTGCAAAATTCCCCAGCAACCAGGCTGGGGGGAATTTTGAGTGCCAGGAAGCCAGCACTCTATGGGCTGACAGGGGTTATTTTTACAGCTCTGAGGCCAAGAGAGTTTACATTTTCCAAATAGGAGACTATGTTTTCATGACCATCACCCCCTGAAGTCACTGCAGGCAGGAAGCTCCATCCACAGATTGAATCTCATCACAGCTCAGTTCTCACTCAAGTCACAGGAACACACATTTCCCTTTAACCCCCGCCAGCTGAGTTGAAAAGTACATGAAATGAGGAAAATAAGAGGCAGCAGAAGCAAATGGATCTTTCCAATGAGTGTTTACAAAAGAAAGCTTTGTAAAAGCAAAAACTTGGTCCCGCATTAACCAGAAATCCCAATGAGAACAGAAATCCCCAGATGAGGTACACTACTGTAAGAAACAAAAATATTCCCAGTCACCTAAAATTCGGTGCTGAGAATTAACATCTAACCAAAACTGAAGTAAACATCATGCAACTGCTGTAGAGACTTCTTAACTCTGGTTTTGTCATAGATGTATCTGAAATTGGACATAAGCTTTTATTTATTTTTAATCTTTTAAACCACAAGGATTATGGCCAACATTTTAAAAATTAATCAAACATTAAATATTAATTAGCTTCAGTGGTAGTATAAAGAAAGCTAGGGTTTGTATTGTGTTGCTAAATACAGATTTACCTCCCATACATAAGATTCCTAGCAACACCCCTGTTTTGGCCCAGACAGGCTACATGATGAAATATACCTTTAGATCTTGACTTTTTACAGATAAAAGTCTTTAAAACCTTGCTTGCTTCTTACTCAGATCTAACTTTGACTGGCTTATGTTGCTTGCTAGCAGCTATAAGAGACAGTAATTGTAGAAAATTTGATGAAACACCCAAAAAAAAGATTCTACAATGTTCCTCTGTACCCCAAAATACCCTTTCTTTTTTTCTAAAATTATGAAAATTGGGGACAGGTAAAGGAAAGGACACAAACAAAAACCTATGACTGTTTCTTTTTCCCTAGACTTTGAAAGTATTTAATAAAATAAGATTACACTACTGTGAACTTATTTAGCTTACTCTAGCATTATTACCTTGTGTTCTCCACCATAGGAACATTCATTCTCATGAAGACAGACCAGCAATATCCCCAAGTCTGACTCACCCTGTGTTTTCTCCCCACCCATTCCACTGTCCCCACAAGTAACAAGCTTCTGGGCTTTAAGACTAGAGTCTATCAGTACCAAGAGGCCTATCTGAATCATCTAATTATCACCTTTACCAATGTTATACAAACACATGGCCATTTTGGTATGAAATCCTACAAATAGCAAGCATGTTTTAAATGTTTTGAAATGTGTGTATGTCTATACACACAGACATGGCACACAAAAAAAAAAAAAACTATTTCAGGAGGCTTCAGGTAATAGATCCAGGTGCTTGATCACACTGAATATTTTAGATGAACCCAAAAGAATTATTTTTACCATGATAAACTTCCATAATAGATACAAAGCACTAGTGTCTCTCTCCAGATGAGAGATGTTTGTACATACAAAAAGTTACAACCTACATTTATTTTGATTTAGTGTCATATCCTTACAGTATCTCATACCACCTAAGCTGGTGTTTTGCATACCAATGACCGTTTTTACCTGCATGGCTGCATAACAAGGAGCCACGAGATGGCACTGTGTAACCAGTTTCAGTGTTTTAGTCACAGGCATTTTTCTGTAAAATTGAGCTTAGACTGTTCTGTCTTGTTTGTTAGCTTGTTTGAACTGGTAAAGGCAAAAAAAAAAAAAGAAAATCTAAAGAAGATGCTAAGGAAGATTTCCTTTATAGCTACTATAGCTTAACTCGTGTGGCTGGTGGACTATACCCATCAAGCTTCAGTCTCAGCTGACACAGCCAAGTTGTTTCAGTATCAAATACTGTTCAAATCCAATTAAGGGTATGCCAAAACCTGAAGTCTCCATATAGTCATATATCTTAATATGATTTATATGAGTCTTATTATCCTAAATTATATCCTTTTTTCCCCTGTTTAGTTTGAATTGCCTCCAAATTCTTTGAAGTTTCAAACCAAAGACAAGAAACTAGAGATAAAGTGAAGACCTTCTACCTAAAATGATGACCAAAACACAGGTACCGCATTGTGATTCATGTTAAGGATGAGCTAAAAGCTGAAGGCAGCTCAGGCTGCTGTAATCTGACTAATCTGACTAGACCAGAGCACAGCCCAGGAACTATAAAAGCAGTTAAAGTTAAGGTTGACCACCTCTACAACTTACTTGTTTTACGTGATGAAGAACTGGAGTTGAAGCCATTGCAATGCAAGAGAAAAGACTGAACCCGCACGCTTCTAATTCGAAGGATGGGTTTCCACTAGCCTCTCTCACAGAGCACAGACAGTACACAGTAGCAAGAGCTATATAATGCCATGACACTTAAAATAGCCTACAGCTGCATAAGAATCCAACATATAACATCCTAGACAACCACTGTGAAGATCAAACAAGTTCAAGATAAGAGAAGCCCCAGAAGATTACTAGTTCTAGTACTAATTTGCACTAGATGTACAGATTTATTTTAAACCCTTGCATGTTCAATGGATAAAGGATAAGTTATGTACACAGTGAGCTAAGGGCCTCTTAATCTATCATGACCACGCAGTCTAATCAGCAGATTAGATTTATGTCAGATTATATCGGTCCTGGATATAGTTCACAACAGTAAGATATAGTGCTGCTTAGAAGCTTATCCAGGACTCTGCTCTAATTGCTTGTCAGATAGTCTCCTTTTCAAAGCACTGTTTTACTACCTACATCTTGGGTCTACTGAAAATAGGCAAGTCAGGATTATACAGGTTAGGTTACCCTTTATTAAAACATAAACTACATAAAATTTGAACTCAATAGAAGCTTCAGAATATGCATTAAAGGTCATAATCCGGAGGTGGCAGGTCAATGATCTCATCCAGGGTAGCAAGGAAGTCAGCAGATGCCTGTAGCAAGTCTGAAAGTTAGAAATAGTGTAAATCAGTTTCTCACAAAACCCAAAAGTTATACTCCCTAACAAACTAGCCCTCAGTAGATAAGCATAAGCCTCTTGAATAACTAAGGGAAATACTGTTTGATTGCATAAGCCAATTCTACCTAACTATCAGTCAGCAATGCACTGTAAGACATTGCTCAGCAACATCCCTTTGAGACCACTATCTGTACCAGTAGGGCTGACCAATTAAATTCAGCTCGACTATATACCAAAAGTTGTTTGATGATAATGCACTATTCTGGTAGTTAGAAGTGCAGTGGCCATTCACTACTGCAGCCAACTAGCTTCCCTCCCATACCACTAGTGAGCACTCTGTACTGAAATTCATGCCAAGTTTCCACTTACTAGACTCCCATGAGTCTTCAATCTCCACAGGTGAAGGAACCATGTTCACAAATTTATCATATGTTCTTTCATATATCATGAGGGGGACACCACATAGGTTGATATTGCTCATTTTGTGCTCTTCAGGAAGATCAAAAGTCTCATAGTCTGTTTGAGAAAGACACTAGTTTAGTAACAGTGTACAGTAGCCTGGGAGGCTGCAAATTCTCCTAGATTAAATCTAGTGGGAACAGGTCCAAAACAACACAATCCAACAGTCCCCTCTTATGGGGTATTTATTTACAGTTACAACTTAGTTGTCCAAAAAATTCTATACAATAGCACTTATCAAAAGACTAGACCACATAACAACTGCTAATGTAAAGCAGGAGATTTTAGTAATTTCTTCCCATTCACTATACTAAGTCATCTTCATCAAGCACAGCATATGTATTTCACCAATACTGAAGCAGTCTTTGATACATTTTGTACACTCCCTTCCACATGAACCGGATCATTTAAGCACACAGTTTGAAGGACTGAGACAAAATATCTGCAGTGGGCTGTGCTAAGAACAACTTTACAAGTTTCGTCTTCAACTATTATATCTTACATCAGTAGGAACCTCTTCAGTTAGAACTTACCATCTTGGCATACATTAAATCTACTCTTCCATAGTGCTTCAGTATTCCTTTGAGTATTTGTCTAGTAGTTGCCATTTAATTAATTAAGAGACTGCAGCTTGGAACTAGTTGCCTAGTGGACTTCAACTACTACACATCTGGAGCACAGCTACTGCAGTTAGAAATATTTACATAAGAATGAGATGGTATTTCAGACGTAGCAAGCACCCTTGCATTTAAGAAAGGACTGCAGAGAAATGCTATGCTGCTTCATTTACTACAATAGCTTGACCAAAGTCTTACAATATCCATACTCATGAAAGCCTGATTCACTTCAACAATTACACCAGTAGTTCTTACCTCGAGGATCAGAAGGAAACATATTTTCTATTTCTGGCCAGTCTTCTTCAGCCACTGCATTGCAGCTTTCTAATCCAGCCGTCTTTTCAGTAATCTTAAAAAGAGAAAGTCTTTGAGTTACTGTAGTTTCTCATTGTAGCACCTTTGCAGTAGCTTTCCAGTGTTATACAGATCTACAGCCAAGAATGCCTGCCATACAGACAGTTATGCCTAAATCCTAATGCCTTCAACACAATCTGGAGACAGGCAAATGATCCAGTTGAGTTTAAGCAGTGTACTACATATAGTGGCAACAAGTCACTGCACTGGAACCTTTAGACTCATAATATTAAATTCCTGATACTTAACAGGTAAACAAGGCATTAACTCAGATTATTTTCTCTAGAGCTACTTCTTTGCCATTAGGGACCCCCTAAGCTGTTGCATTCCTTGTACCTATGCAGGTATACTGGTTTTGGCTAGGATAATTATTTTTCCTCCTAGTAGCTCACATGATGCCATGTTTTGGAGTCATAATGAAAACAGTGTTGATAACAGGGTTATTTTAGCTGTTGCTAAACACCGCTTACACAGCATCAAGGCCCTTTCTGCTTCTCACAACCCCACCAGTGAGCTGGCTGGGGGTGCACAAGAAGTTGGCAGGGGCACAGCCATGACAGTTGACCCAAGGGATATTCTATACGAAGTTTGCCAGAGCTGCCATTGGTCAGGGACTGGCAAGGCATCAGTCAGCTAGTGGCAAGAAAATGGTTTCGGGTTTCTTGGAGATTTTTTAATAATTAAGTTGTCTTAGTCTCAGCCCATGAATTTTCTCAATTTTACCCTTCCATCCTCTGCCCTATCCCACTGAGGGGGGAGCAAGCAAGCAGCTATATGAACATATGTAAGCCACAACAGTAGGTAAACTACACATTTCCCCACCTGCTGCAGAAGTGTTGTACTCACTTTGTTTGCAGTGCAAGACTGATTTTTCTGTCCTGTCTTCTCTGTCTTGCTTGTGACTCCTTTAGTTCTATTCACATTTCCAAGAGCCTTTCTCACAGAGTGAGATGTGGCTGGAGATGTACTGATGGTTTTTTTAGGAAGTGGAGTGTTAACTTGTGTTCTTTCAGAGAAGACTTTTGCTGGTGAATGGAGGGAAAGAAAAAAGCAAACTTTAGCACCATATCAACCCAAAATCTTATTTCAGTAAGTATGTGCTGGAAAACCAGTTGTCATAAAAATCATCATTCACCATTTTTAACTCAAGAGCATAAGCCCTATTTATGACAAAAGCACAGTTATTCTCATCTTTATAAATTCATAAGCTTAGCAGAATTAGTTAGATGAGTAGATACTGGAACAGAAGACTATTACTGTTCAAAACAGTGAATAACAAAACATTGATTTATGCACATCACTTGATCCTCTACTGGCTTAGGGCAGCATATACACACAAGATCCTGAAGGGAGTCTTAGCGGATTCTTAGTAGCACCAACTTCATCGTTCTCCTTATCCAGAAGGGTTAGCTTTGCCATCTTCTGGTTGATAAGACCACTCTGGAAAGCCCATACAGGAAAAAGAAGAAATCAGTCTTGTCATTTCTTCTACAACAGCACACTTCTTAAACTGCACAAAAGACAACATAGCTACCCCACACCTCCTAGAGAAGGGGAATAAACCTATATTTTACACTATTTCATAGTAGTTTAGCTACAGACTCTTATGTTTGAAGGCATTATTAATGCACGTGGTAGACTCGTAGCCCCAAAGGACTTTGGGAAAATAGCAAGGTCTCACAGCAATCCTACCCAGGAAGGTCTAATACCTTCCGTTTGCTTTGTTACTTCTTTTCATTGTTTAACTCCTTCCTCAGTCCAACAGTATATCTCCTAGCTTTGCAATCCAGTCCTTAGCACAACTTGTAGCATTTGCACAGTCAAGAGTAATGCCAGTTATTTTACTAGCAGAGACATCTTTTTACCATAAGAAGAAACCATCGGAGAAGACCCTATAGAAACAGATCATTCCACTACTGTTTTTCAGCTCCATCTGAGACAACAGAGAGAGCACTCTCTTGCTCCATCAGGAGCGGTGAGGCAGCTCCCACTCGGACCTCATCGCTACCATTACATAAGAGGGCAAGGGATTCCTCAGCTTAAAGAGGTACGTAGAAAAATGTGGGTTTAATTGGTACAGCTTAAGGTCAAAGGCTTAATCACAAAATCCAAGCCAGATTTACAGCTACAAGTCTCAGGACCCCGCTTGTTTCGGCCCCGCGGTCGCAGCTCCCGGAGCACTCTTCTCCCCCCCCCGCCCCGGGTTCTCCCCAGCACCCCTCCCCGCCCAGCCCAGGGCTCACCTCAGGAGCTACCAGCACCTCCGAGCGCTGAGGCATTGCTACAGCACCCACAAAGACGAGGGTTAGCGCGACTGCAGGCCACAGGGAGGACAAGTAGAACTGCGGACACTTCACCTCAAAGAGCAAGGCCGCAGTGCCCCCTCCCCAACCGCCGGCAGGTTTTAAAGCGGCTCCGCAACGCCCATTGGCTGCTTCGACCGACGCTCAGCAGCCGATTGGCTCAGCAGCGCCGCTTCCGCACCGCCTCACCTGCCCCCCCCGCGGCTCCACCCCCTGCGCTCCGGGGGCGGGGCAGACCCCGCTGACGCGTTGCTGGCCCTGGGTGGGGCGTGGCCGCGGTGCATTGTGGGGCGGCGGTGCGGCCTAGCCGGTAAACACGGGCGGCGGGGGGCGTCCGGGAGGGCGGCGGGGATCGGCGGCCTGGGTGGGCGGCAGCCGCCGAGCAGTCGCTTTGGGCTCTGAGGGAGTACCCGCCTCCTTGGGGCCTGAGCCTGTGTCCTGGTGGGGTGCTGTTTCTAGCTATTCGCCGTTCTGTCTTGCCTTGGGGGTGCGCCTAGGCCTAGGTTTGTGCGTTGTGCGGGCCCCAGCGGCTGGCGGGGCCTTGTGGTGACCCGGCCCTGTTCGTGGGCCTTTCTGGTAGTCCTGGCCTGTCCGTTCCTGCGGCCGTGGGCGAGTTCGTGTCCCCTTTCTTGCGCGCCGGGAGGGCCCGGTAGTGCATGTCCTGGGGCTGTGTGTAGAGCTGCTGCTGTTTGCCCCCATCATCTATCGTATTAGACAAGAAAAACGTCACTCAGGTAATTTTTCTTTCACTACTGGTACTTGTTTTTATGACAAGATGTATGTCAAGAATATGTAATATAGCGTTACTGGTTTAACTATGATACAAAACCACATTGAGGAACTGTGTTGTCAAATGGAATTGATCTGTAAGACTTTATTCTTTTTCTGTTACAAGGGAAAAAACAAAATGGCATCAGGGACGGTAATGAATGCCACTTCCTCGGGAGGGTCAAATGACGTGAGCCTGGAGGAACCAAAGAAGATGACAAGGGAAGACTGGAGGAAAAAGAAGGAATTAGAAGAACAAAGAAAATTAGGAAATGCGCCTGCTGAGGTGGATGAAGAAGGAAAGTAAGTTTTAATAAAGCTGTAGTTATTCTAAAGCTACTGCTTAAAAATATATTATTTCCTGTTGTGAATACAGAATAATTATGAGGACGATACATGATTTCTACATGAGTCATTGTGGAAGTAAATAGTTGAACTTTGTGAATTAGCTTTTAACATTCCAGTCATCCTCAGAAAACAGATATTTTTCAAAGTAGGTCCAGTGTTTATCCACTGTGATCTACTGACAGTGCTGCTGGAAACTCCCATCTATGCAGATATTTACAAGTGGTATTTTAAAAGTGACCTGAAGGGAATACTGGGGAACGCACTGCGTAACGTACCTGTTCCCCCTCTCTTGCTTCTACAAGGCCCCTTGTTTCTGAGAAATGTTACTATTTTTGTGCTTTGCAACATTGTATAGAATAAGGTAATTGATTGGAGCCAGGATCGTAGGTGAATTAGGTGGCAACAAAATCACAGTGAAAGTTTGCATTTTATCTAGTTAAATTAGAGTTTATTATGCAATGCATTGTAACAACTAGATTATTTTATTATCACTCCTGAAGCACTGAACTTTAATGTGGGAGTTATTTGTTAGGCTAAGTTGTGGAGGTGTTTTCAGTATGCCATGTATTTATTACACATCATCTTTTACAGAGATATCAATCCTCATATTCCTCAGTACATATCCTCAGTACCATGGTACATAGATCCATCTAAGAGACCTACACTAAAGCATCAGAGACCTCAGCCAGAGAAGCAGAAACAGTATAGCTCCTCTGGAGATTGGTACAAACGAGGCGTACAAGAGGTATGCAAAGTACTTTGTCATAAAATAAAGATTTGGTTTGATTTTGTGAGGAAATAAGAAAAGAGATATTGACACCCTATAAAGACATAACTGTAGTTATATGTTTTTGAGAGGGACAGGAGCTGTGAATTCTTTTTCATCAGGCAAGTTGCAGTGTTTGGCAATAATCAAAATATATGTTCTGGGTTTGGGTAGACCATGCACTCTTTAGTTGTATTGAAAAAATTATTGGAACACATATAGAATCTTGCCACAAGTTTGTACAACTCTTTTTTTTGTTGTTTAGCATGCGATAGCGACAAGATACCGTAAAGGAGCTTGCGAGAACTGTGGTGCATTGACACACAAAAAGAAAGACTGCATGGAGGTAAACTTTTGTTGATGGTTTCATGGTTTTGAAAACAATGTGAATTCTCACCTTAGTGAAAATAGCTAGCTATAGATAAAATAAAAATTACAAGTTTTGAAACAATGGTTTTGAAAAAGGTTACAAGTATCGAAACATAGCTTGAAAATTTATAAAGAAATTGTTATGTGGGAAAAAATGCTACTATTCAGGGTTTTGCTCATCAGTTCTGTTTGTGATAAGCGCTGCAATAATAGGTGAAAATGTTTAGCTCTTCGTGTTGATTTGCTTTAACTTGAGTGCTGCTGTGCCTGTCTGTGTGTTTCATGTCAGCTAAAAGCCAGCTGCAGAAACAGGGCTTTAATTGCTTTCTTATTTGTGGAAAATAGAGTTAGAAATTGGTGGGGTTTGGAGTCAGTTGCACTACTTTAAAAGTGAACTACTTGGATCTATTTACAGTTCACAGGTTTATAGTGCTGAATGTAACTGGCATTAGAAGAGCTTGATTGATACTGCTTTTAAAGGGGTATCTGAGTGAGTAACATATTTTAGTCTATTGTACGGATCCAACCATTTTTTTCCTTTCAGAGACCCAGAAAAGTTGGAGCAAAATACACAGGCATGAATATTGCGCCAGATGAACATGTACAGCCTCAACTGATGTTTGATTATGATGGAAAGCGAGATCGTTGGAATGGTTATAACCCAGAAGAGCACATGAAGATTGTTGAGGAATATTCCAAGGTTGATCTGGTATGTAGGTGCTGTGGTTTACTGGGGAAAACTTCAGTGTTTGGCTTGGCTGTGAGGGGCAACATTTGTTACGTCCACTGTTAATTTCAGACCTTGTGCTGTATTCATAATGAACAAATGAGGTGGATTCTGTGTTTGACACTGCTTGAGCTGAAAATTCAGATCAGAAATGGCAACTGATTATGGGCCTGCACAATAAATAGTCTCTCCAGACTGCTTACCTTTTAATAGACAAGCCTTAGAATTTGTTACTCAAGATACAGATTGAATAGCAGGCAAGAAAGGAATTTATCTGTCTGTATTAAAGCTGATAAATCTGTATCTATTTTGTAACTTCATTCATGCCTTTTCACTTACGAGTCCTTTTTGTTACCATGATGCAGCAGTGGACTATTTGTATGTGTCTCTGTGCAGATGGGCTCCTTGCTGCTGCAGTTAACTTTCTATCTGTATACACCATATCCATGGGGATGCTATTAACTTCTTTGAATGAAAAAAAACATAAATAGTTCACTACCTTGTCTGGATGTTAGGCTAGTTCCAAAAGGTGGTAAAGTGCCTAACTAACTCCCTTCAGTATCTGGTCCTCAATATTTTCCTATAGTCCATAGAAAAGCTAATGCTAAATATGACCTAATCAGTGTGTATAAATGTCTGATGGGAGTGTTTAAAGGCAGCCAGCATCTTCTCAGTAGTATCTAATGACAGGAAAAGAAGCAGTGGGCAGAAATTGAAATACAGGAAATTCTGTTCAAACATCAGAAAAAAAATTTTCTGCTGTATGGGTGATCAGACAGTGGAACAGCTTGCCCAGTGAGGCTGCGGCATCTTGGAGTAATCAAAAGCTGCTTAGACACAGTCCTGGGCAACCTGTTGCAGGCAGGCCTGCTTTGAGCAGGGGGATTGTCCTGGGCAGTCTCCAGAGGTTTCTAAAACATCAACTGTTCTGTGATGTGAAACATACAAAAATTCTCTACATAGTGCTATAGAATCTCACTTTAGATGGCACAATGGTCCTTCTGGGATGAAACATAAATGCTTCCAGCACTAGTCATGAACTACCTTAAGCACTGAAGTTCCTAATTAGATTATGAGGACACAATAATAAAACATATTTGTTCTTAAACATTATTGAACTAAAATAAACTATCTCTTTCTTAAATTAGGATGCATGTAGTAATGGTATAGCTTCATATGCTCTAGTAAACTATTTTACATAACAGTATAATATAAAATAGTAAAACAGTTAATGTGTATACAGCTTTAAATGACAGCTGCCCCAAGACCTGCTTATGATGAGTATTACTACACACTTGCTATTTAAAAGAAATATTAAACAATTGCATTTTCATGATATGCAGGCCAAACGTACACTGAAAGCCCAGAAGCTTCAGGAAGAGTTAGCATCAGGAAAACTGGAGCAAGTGGTAAGTAAACTAAACCCTAATTTATTTTTGTTTAGCTTGAATAAAAATGCAACAGGTTACTTCTGCTCTGTGATGCTTTTATTCTCTATACAGGATCTACTGTTGTTTTTTATGCCCTCCAGTAATGTAAAAATTTTCCTAGCACCAGCAAATTCTGTGTTAAATTCAAGAATTTGAAGCATCTTCTTTCAAATGAGAGTGGCTTTGCTTTTCCCATATGGGCAAAAATTCTGTGTGATTATTATTCTTACTAAAATTAATTACGTGGATTTTCTGGTCAGAAAAACTTGTTTTCTGTGTAGTAGTCTTGTTTAGGTACTGAAATACTTTTCTGTATTGAAAGATTGTTATGTCTGACTGATGTTGAGGTAATGGCTATTATGTAACGGTGGATTGCTTTAATAATGCTTAGTATAAATTGGAATAAGAAGGTTCTTTATCTTAGAACTAAACATCTTTTTTCTTTAGTCATTGCTATGACTATTTGCAGTGTCTCTGGTTATTTGAAGGCTGAGCATATGTATTTCTCTCTGGCTTGTAACTTTGTAGAGTTTGCATCTTCGCTAACTTCTACAAGTTCTTCCTATAAAATTCTGATTTTAAAAGGCGTTTCTGATAATATTCTAAGCTTATAAAATGGGGAAAAAGTAGAGACGGCTACTGGTCAGAAGTAGGGGTTTTTAATCAGTATGGTAGGAGAGAAAACTCCAAGCAAAAGGCTGCCACACAGTTGGACCGCAATTTTCCAGAGGTTGTCACGATGCGTTTTGTCACTAGATGGCAGAGTGAACTTACTGCAGCGTTCTGACCTTGCCGGTAGAAAAAATTCTTGCTCTTTTTGATGCCTGCATTCACCGCAAGGCAACATCGTTGGCTTCATATACTTAGTCCTTACAAAACGGAGCCGAAAGAAGAAAAGTCTGTTTGAAATATAAGCGCTATCTCTCATGGAGAGATCTCAGGATTGATAACAATTTGCATTGTCAGTGCTGGCCTATTTGTTGGTCAGTCTTCCAGGAATCAGTTGTTTCCACCTTTACCACTGCAAGTATTCTCAAGTTAGAGGCTAAGCAGGTTAAAAAAATCAATTCTAGCTGTGTGTCTCCAGATTAAATTATGGCTTCTGATGCATGCTTAGCATTCCTGGCAATCCTAACTAAATACTTGCATATGCATATCTTCTTAGTTATTTTTTTAAGCTTTCAGAGTTGAATCTTGGTTATATTTGCATGATAAGAAATAGTCTAGTCTGAAACATTAGTGTTCAAAAGCATAGCAAGCTCTAGATAAAAGTGACAGTTCTAGAATTTGCCATTCTTGCAAAGTCTTGGAAATTTAGTTGGGTGAAAGGTCTCCAACATGCATCTGTAATAGAGACACTGAGAAGCTCCTTCCTAGAACGTTCAAAATATGTGTCTTTGTGTGTTTTGTGCCAAGGGTAAACTGTATTTTGCATCCAGCATCAAAGCTCTGCTTTGATTCCTTTTTATCTCCCTGTCATCTTTCCTCTCTTCACTATCTTGTCTTCTCTGCTGATGTGCTCTTTGTTTGCTGCAGAACTCCCCAAGACACCAGTGGGGAGAAGAGGAACCAAATTCACAGACAGTAAGATGATTACCCACTGCATCACACCACGGGCAGAAAAAAGGACTTGTAGTTAGTGAAATAAGGGTGACATAAGGGTTTCAGTGTTGGGTTCATGCCACTGGCTGCCTGTTCTTTTGAGCAGAGGTTGTTGGATTTCACTGAGGGGATTTTGGTTTTAACTCCTGTGTGTTGGCAGACATTAGAGATGCATGGAATTAACTAGTTTTAATATGTTCGTATTTTGCCTGAGGTAACTGTTTTCTTAATATCATCACAGTTATGTTTTTGTAACTCTTTCTGTAGAAGGAAGTGAAAATCCTTTAACAAGGTTAGTGTATTACTAGCATGACAGCACACTTAAGCCCGAGTATATGATGATAACTTTAACTACAGGATTGCAGAATTTTTAATGAAACCACTAAAATCAGATTCTCGTACTTGTCTCTGGAGTGAATGTCCTCTTTTATTTAGCAGTTTCCCATCTCTCCTCAGGAAAGAGATCATAACAGTGAAGATGAAGATGAAGATAAATATGCAGATGACATTGATATGCCTGGGCAGAATTTTGACTCTAAAAGACGTATCACAGTTCGAAATTTACGTATTCGGGAAGATATTGCAAAAGTGAGTAAAGAATTCTTTTCAGATGTTCTTTTGTATTCATGAGAGTTAATTAAAAAAAAAAAGTATGCTCAGTTATTAATGAGTTTGTGTATGGATTTGGGGGTTGGGAGGTTAAGGTTGGTTCTCAATTCTATTCCTGCTCATGTTATGACTTCATTAAGTCTCTTACACAGATACACCTTTTTAAAATGTCTAAGCTGGGTGATACAGTAGTAACTTCAGTTCTTTTAAAAGCCTAAATATCGAAGATGTTGTATTTTCTTTTATTTCACTAGTACTTGAGGAATCTAGATCCAAACTCTGCTTATTATGATCCCAAAACAAGAGCAATGAGGGAGAACCCCTATGCCAACACAGGCAAGAATCCAGATGAGTAAGTTAAAACCATGTCGTGCTTGTGTATCCAACAAAACTTTGTTAAAAATGGGATTAATAGTTTTGTATTTTCTTTAATCTGTTTGTGTTTTTACTAATAATTCTCTAGACAGTTATGGATAGAAGTAGTAGTAAACATGGAAAAAATTTTTATTTAGCAGCACTTTTTGTTTTAGTATATGGAAGTGGTATTTTAGTAATACTGGCCCTTAATCTTCAGGGATATGTGGACCACCATTTAGTATAATGGTCTGTACAAGGATTAGAACGCTCTGTGGTATCTAGAGGTGATATCTGTAAACAGTAAAGATGCTTATGTAAAGTATTTCAGTAACCAAATCTTAAACTTCATCCTTGTTTGTTGGGAGGCATTTGGCACCAGAGACTAGCATGGAGCATCTGTGGTACCTAACTAAATGCCTGAATTAGGAGCAAAAGCTCCTCATATATTAATGGAGTCTGCATAGAAAAGGTCTGAAAGCTTTGGCGTTTTCTAGACAGACAACTTAATTAAAGAATGCCATAGGCTGGCTTTTGGCTGCACATAAAGCTGTCTCACGTAAAACTCGAGTCAAGCACTTGAGCTGTGACCCTGCCGTGACCTGTGTAGGGCTGTGGACATAGAGAGTAGACAGGCTGTGAGCAGAAACATTTATTCTGAGTACAGTAATTGGATTAGCTCGCTGCCTGAAATAGAATGGCAGTGGCTAAATGCTAGCAAATAATGCTCTTTCTACCTCTCCTTGCCCCCAGCTAGAATAATGCCAGTCAGTTCTTTTTTTTTAGATGCAGATGCTTTCACTTCTCTCCAGAGTCATAATTTGACCTTTGTTGAATCTGTGTTTCTGCCACAGCCACTGCAGATTGTAAACTTTTCAGAGTGGGAAATTGGGTTGTTAACAGTTTTTGATTTTCACCCTGTGTTTCCTATACTCATGGTGAATCTCTTTAAGGGGTGTTCAAAAGGTAAAGCTAAAGCTATTACCAGGCTTTAGACCAGTAAAATACACTCTGTCTGGGTGGGAGGAGAGATTCACAAATCCAAAAGCTGAGAATCACTATGCTAGAATATCACTTACCATTCATGCATATTTATAGATCCAAGCTTGACTCATGGCACTTGGTATCCCAGATGAAGCTCCATGTCTGTGTCATCAGATGTTTCCATATGAACACAGGCATCCAGTGTTCCGAGTTGTTGTCCAGTACTTCCATGACTCCACGGGGAGCCTAGACTTTCATGTATTGAGTTGAACACACCTTCCTCTGCCTCCATTCTTAACTCTCAGGGCTCAAAGGAGAACTTTTACTTTCCCGTTGATGTTCTAGAATTACATTTAAATGAAAATCACGTTACTTGAATGCTAAGAATCACACTCTTCTTTTCTGCAGAGTTGGTTACGCAGGTGACAACTTTGTTCGCTACACTGGAGATACCATTTCAATGGCACAGACTCAGTGTAAGTGGGTTTTGGGTTGTTTTGTTTTTAAGGAAATGGACTTAAAAGACTTAAGTTAACAGTGCTTCTTTCTCGCAAAAGAGAAATAAATCTTTTTTGAAAGATTGAAGCTTTTTTCCAAATTACTACAGAATTAAAGATGGTAATTTGAATGCGTATGTTAGTTTTAGAATAAACATTGAGTGAAACCTCTTGTGTACACAGTGTTTGCTTGGGAGGCTTATGACAAAGGCTCTGAAGTTCATCTTCAAGCAGACCCTACAAAATTAGAGCTACTTTATAAGTCCTTCAAAGTGAAAAAAGAAGATTTCAAGGCACAGCAGAAAGAAAGCATCCTAGAAAAGGTAACAGACATTTGGGTTTTATTTAAGAAGAGTTGTGTTCAGTTTGAAGTCTGGATCTTGGGAAACAAATAAGATTACTAGTGCTATGTGAAAATACATCAGCTGTTCTCAGCACCTTGGATTCATATAAAGATTTTTATATCTACACTCACAATCTCATCAATTGGATTCATTGTGTTATTTAATATAGGAACCTTTGGAGATCTGCTGGTATTTATTTGGATTATGGGGAGGTCTTCCCTTAACTGTCAGAATTTCTCCAGTGAAAAATCTGACACCAGTATGTAGGAGGAGTGGGCATTTAGATATTTAAAAAAAAAAATAATAATACAAGTGGTTAAAAAAATTATTTTGCAGTTTAAAAGTGGTATCTTTTATAAAATACCCAAGTCACAGTCTCCCAAAACTATTTTTAAATTTTTATTTTCTCTTAAATGTGAAAAGCAGAATTTTCAGATTTGAATTTTGGGTGCAGTCTTCTAGATAAGTATTTATTTTAGATTTTGCTACTGGTTTCTTGGACAACTGGTAAAGGACTAGATAATGCATTCTAACCTTCTCAACATTCAGGTCTGGAAGGGAACACAATGTACTGCTCTGGTTATGCCACAGCCTCTTGGTTTGGTCTGAAAAGTTTTCCTGTTCTGAGTGAAGAATATCACTGTTGTAACCCTCCAGGCATTAAAAAACCAACCAACCAAACAAAACAATACAACCAAACAAACCCCCAAACAAACCACCATCCAAAGCCACCACAGTGGCCGTAGGAGATGTATTTCTCTTAACTATTCACTAAAGATTAAACTGTCTCTATCCACTTCTTTTGTGTCTTCTTCAGAAGATATTGAAGGTGAAGGTTTTGAAGTGTATGCGTAACTACATAAAAGGTGGGTTTTTTTTAAAATGTCATTTCTCTATGCATTTTAGTATGGAGGACAAGAACATCTGGATACCCCACCAGCTGAACTGCTGTTAGCACAAACAGAAGATTACGTGGAGTACTCTAGACATGGAACAGTCATCAAAGGACAAGAGAAAGCTATTGCTTGCTCTAAATATGAAGAGGATGTAAAGATCAACAACCATACAGTAAGCCAATTATGTAAAAGTTATTAAAAAATTAGATTTCTTCCCACCGGAAGGGAATGAGGTACAGTAGGATACAGTACAATATAATTAATAGAGCAAATATATTTTTCCTCTTTCAAACGTGACACACTCCCCTTTCTATTAAGGATGAATTTCAAGTTGTCACAGCTGCAACGTGAACTTGAGGAGTTGTGATGGCAATCTTAAACTGAAGGGGAAGTTACTGTATTTCCCTTCGACTTTGAATACGAGCTGACCGCATCCTGTTGCTTTTCTCCTTCTTGAAACTGCACCTGTAAAGCTAATGTGAAATAGAGAAAGTGTTTTCATAACTTTCCCTTCAGGATTGTTTGAATAACTTACTTATTGGGATATAACCTCAAGAATAAATTGCAGGCTGCCTCCTACAGGAGTGTTGTCGTGGACATAACGGCTATGGTGTCTTCTCTTGCAGTGCATTTGGGGTTCATATTGGAAAGAAGGCAAGTGGGGTTACAAATGCTGCCACTCATTTGTCAAGTACTCGTACTGTACAGGAGAAGCTGGGAAAGAAATTGCTGTAAGTATTGTCTTATTTAGTCAATTGGAAAGAGCTAAAAAACATTCATCCTCCTACCCAAGTTTTAGACTGCTTTGATTTGTGGGGGGGTGGCGTTGGGGTTTTGTGGTTTGTTTGGGGTTTTTTTTTCAGGTCCTTCCCCTTTCAACTGTGCTTAGTAAACAGGTATCCTTCTTCTCCTCTGTTGTGCAGAACACTGAAGCAAGCTTACTGGAAGAGCAACCCGGGGAGGAGGAACAAATGACAAAACCCAAAACGCTAATGGAGGTAGGTTGTTTCACTTTCTCAAGAAGGCAGGTATTTTTCCTCAGCGTTTTAAGAGATGGAAACATATGTATAACTACAAAATTGTGTAAGTCGTAATGAGTCTGAAAATTATTGGACTGCATTATTAGATCATTGACATCTCTATTAAAAAATAAGCTCTCAAAGAGCATTAATATATGGTTGGGATTTAATGGCTTGAACGTTAGTAAAGTTTGCAAGTTGAATCTTAACAGTAGCTGGTTTTCCCCCTTACAGATCCACCAAGAGAAACAGAAAGAGAAGAAAAAGAAGAAGCACAAGAAGAGCTCAAATTCAGATAGTGAGGGTGAAGAGAAAAAGAAGCAAGAAAAACTTAAAAAGGTGAACTGTGCTCTTCAGTGGTTTTGTGGCAAAAAGATCTTGAAATATATTTTACAACAATGTCAGTTTTATGAAGTTTGTAATGCAGTTCTGGTGGTGTTCTGTGGGATGTTCTTTGATGTTAATTTTGAGCTAAAGCAAATTTAAAATGCTGTTAGATGTTCTAAAGTACCTTCCGTAATTCTCAGGCAAACATGCAATAAATATTTAGTTTGGGAAGACTTAGTTTAGAAGATTTAGAACACTTCCTTTCTAGGCACCTATTACAGCTGTAGATCTATAAAAGACATTGCAGAACACAATGATTTGGGTAAAAGATGGAGAGATCAAAGGCCCCGTCAAAGCTTAACTTTGCACTTTTTATCCCAGACTTGGGCCCAGTCTGGCAGTTGATGCAATAAACCCACCCCCCACGCTCTGGACTGGCTGCTGCTCACCCGCCCTGCCGCAGGCACAGCAGCCTGCTCGGGATAGTCACAGCAGGAAACTAACGTCAAACTATGGTCAATCGAAGAAATATACAAATGCAGGGTTTTTTCAGTGTAATGAAAACGTTGCTCCTCTCTGCAACATTTTTCTTACGTTGCAAGAAGGAGCAACATCAGCAGTTTGAGGAAGGGGATAACATGTGTTTCAAAAAACATTTTAAAAAAAGTGCGTGCTGACTGAAGAAAAAAAAAATGCTAACAACAAACCCAAACCCCTGAGATCACATCCTCACCAACCTGCTTTTGTACTTGCTGCCCATGGTTACCTTTTAGGTAAAGCCAAGGAGTTTCTTACTTGATTTGGGCAATTGGAAAGATAGTAAAGTATCTTGTTTGCTAAATATCATTTTACTATAATTTTATGTTAAATACTAAAAAATGAGCATTAAATGAAGCGAGCTCTAGGTGGGGCCAGACAGATGTGCATTGCTTATCCCACCGTTGTGCCTGCTGTTGGTACTAGAATCTAACACAAACTTTCATTGGGTTCTTTTGCTTGACTTTCATTGTGGGTTTGTTGTTTTTTTTCTTTTGCTTTAATTTCAGGCACTAAATGCAGAAGAAGCTCGTCTTCTCCATGTTAAAGAAATCATGCAGTTAGATGAGAGGAAGAGACCCTACAACAGCCTGTATGAAACCAGGGAGCCAACAGAAGAGGAAATGGAAGCCTACAGAATGAAACGGCAGAGACCTGATGATCCCATGGCCTCTTTCCTTGGACAGTAGTCCCAGTGAAATCATTCCAATACACAAGACTCTTTTTTCATGCTCGTTTAGAACTCTGTGGAGTTGTAAGCTCATTTACAACCATGTGTGGAAGTGCCAGAAATAGCAGAGACCTTTTTTTGCACCAAAGAAGCTGGTGAAAATTTCTTTCAGCAGACATAAGCAGTCCAATACTTAGAGCAATTTTGAGATATGTGTGTATGTATATATATATACAGTCACAAATGTATATATGTACACATACATATAAAAATTATATGTACCTATAAAATACATACATCTACTCTGTAAAATATTTATTGGAAGATAAAATATCTGATGCTGGAATTCTAGGTTTGTTTGGCCAACTAATATATACATAAAGTCATAATACATTCAGTAAAACTGACTGCCTAAAAAGAAACAGTCAGCAGGTGTCAATATAGAACAAAAATTGTTGAAAAGACAATTTGATCCAGCTACAGCAGCTTCTTATTTGTAAAGGGAGTTACCTGTCACATGGCTTTGAAAGGATAAATAGTTCCTTTCTTGATCATTTTGTAGTATTTTGGTAATGTAATAATTGATTGATTTGTACAGTTTTGGTTAAATTAATATAAAGGTCTTAAATGCTGTGCAGCCTTTTTAATGAAGAGGTTAAGAGAAGCTGACTGTAGCGCTTTTAAATTCCGTTTCTGCAGATGATAACATATAAATTTCAGTTGCAAAGATGGGAGTTGTTTGTTTTGCTGTTTGATAACAGTGTTTGTCTCACCCTGATAACTTCCCAAATCCTGTTATGTGGTGTCATACCAAGTGTTGGGCTCCAGTACCTTGGGATAATGCGAAGCAGCATCTGCTTTGTGGTTGGCAACAGTAGTCCTTACACTGGGAGTTTTCCCCTTCAACTATTAAAAGTGGAAGTAATGGGTGAAAAACTTCATGGCACAACTTTAGAAATAACTCTCAAGCCTTCCATTATGGCTTAAACTGTCTTATTAAACATGCCTTTTATAACCACATTTAATGTGGTTATATTAATAGTAGGACAAGGAAAACACTGTAATCCTGGCTTTTTGTTTTAAACTTAAGAACCTGATTATAATTTCCACTTTGTAAACAATGAAGGAAGTTAAAGATACTGGAAGAAAGTGAAAGAGCACGTTTTGCCTGTAATGGGTTGTACCTCTAATTTCCACCTGTAAACCTGGTTTCCTTTTTTTTTATTAGGTTTTCTCCAAGTTTGCTTCCCCTTTATTTTATAAGACTAATAAAATAAAAGTTTGCAGTCAGATTTATAAAACTTGATTTTAAAATCTCCTAGCACTTGCAAGAAATGTAATCAACTAGTGAGACGAAAGATCTGGGTGTGGAATTGTTACTACAACCAAGTACCAGGAAGGCAAAACTTTAGAGGAGAAATCAGCTTTTGCAGAAGTTGCTTTTATGTTTTCACAATGTGGATTTAGACAGAGGGGGAAAAATATTAGGGATATGGTTTTCCTTCTGCTAAAAAACCAGTGACTCACGTTCTGGGTTTCCACAGCAGCTCAGGTTTTGACCTTTCTAGGTTATGAATAATTTCAAGTAAAAACGGCTCTATTTCACAGCCACTTTGAGGACTGAATATTTTAATTTAGCCCACAGAAATGCTAATTATAGAAATTCTGCATTGGTCTGCAATATAGTTCTGTATTAAAACCATCTGCAGTATTCTCATTGATGATCTAAAATTTAGGCTATTTACTGTGTCTGGAACACAGTAAATCTAGATCCTCTGGTAGGACCTGACTGCAAACTGATTATTTTTCTGAATTAGCTGAACTGTAAAATATTACTCTTCTCAGGGCTGTAACACTTGAAGTGTGACCAGCACAGCTCCAGCTGCAGATACCAACTGCTCATGTCTCACTCGGTGCCGAGTTCAGTTTGGGGGAAGATGAGGTGTCAGAAGGGTCCGTGTTACCATTTCCTTGAGCTACTTAGATACCTTTCTAAAAGTAGCTAGAGGCTCAGAACTCAGAAATACCACTGAAAAAGAGCAACTTAGGACGAACAAATAATTCACCAGTCGTGGCAGCCTGTAAAGCTCAGATTTGAACACTCGTTTAGTGAGTATTCTCCTGACATTCCAGAGAAAAATGGGGACAGAGTTAAAGGTGTATGTATTTTAGAAGCCAGTACAATGTGTTCAGTGCTACAGAGAGAGGTTTATTACAAATAAAGGTGCTGAGTTCTACCCAAAGCAGACTCCTGTGGATGGATTTTTTTTCAGTACCAGGAGCTGGGACCGTACCCTACTTCCCTGTGTGCCCTGTCTGGCTCTGCTGAGAGAGCCCAAGGGCAGGATGGGCCAGTTTCCTCTCTGGTGATGCAGAAGGGGAGCTCCAGGGGAAAAGAGCAATTAGTGTTTTATTCAAAATACAGTTCCTTGAACTTGCGAATGATACAGAGTAGATCTCAAGTCTCAACAGTTAAAGGACAAATACAGCTTAAAACATGTCCTATTTATATCATAAAGGTTAAATGTTAAAGAACATTGTGGATCTGATGGTGAGGATTAATTTTCCTCCATCTGCTTCCCCTTGGATTTGGCGTGCAGTGTGACTGTGCGTATCCAAAGGCCGCTTCCTCCTGCACAAGCAGAATTTTTCCTTTCTCAACTGAGTTTGAGACCTGTTTGTAGGCTCACTTGGACACAAGCAAAGGTTCAGTGGCAAGGGGCCTACTCTAGCAGAGGTGGCTGGGGCTGGGAACTCCCGTTTCTTGCACGCACAAAGAGAAGCGAAGCGAGAGGAAATTCCTTCCCCTGGTAACACAGACCGGTGCAATTCTCAGATCACGATGCAAGGCAGCCCCTGCCAGCACCATCAGCAGAGCTTTCGCTGAATCCTGCCCTCGGCAAAGGGCTCAAAAATTATTTTCTCAACTCCCTTTTCACCAATTGCTTCGATTGCCTCTTTTTTTCATGCTGTTGGGTGCTGGCTGGCTGCGGCACAGCCCCCCACCAACCCTGCGCTGGCCAGCCCAGGGGAACACATTTGCATTTTTAAAACATAGATTAAAACATTCTCCCTTCATTTTTTTTTGTTGAAAAGTTTAGCATTCTGTGTTATCTTTCAAGCTGTGCCAGAAGGTAGTTCTTTCACTGTCTCCACATTTCTTTGTAATTGGATCTTTATGGCTTTCCCGAGTGGGTTAATGAGAGAGACGCACTGTTCTACGCAAGCCTAATTGTTTTAGGCTGTTGAGGGATCAGAAAAAAGCAGGAATGATAGCGATTAGTTACGGATGAAACAGAGTTCAACTTCTAGGCGAAAGGAAAAACACCACAAGAGATGGGATTTTCTGTGCCCACTAGTGCCCAGGGCAACCCAGTGACTGCAGCTTTTCATACCGCTTTCGGGTACAACTGTAATTACTCCATTCCAGCCAAAACACTGTGGCCTGAACCATGTCCAGGCAACTCCTGGTTACTCTGTTGGCACTCCTCTTCGCATCCATCTTGCCAGATGCAGCAAAGAAAAAGACAGAAATATCATTCTAACTTAAACTAGCTATTTTACATGAAACAAATGTGTTCATATCTCTTAGATGACCCCACCCGGTTAGTAGATAGTGATGATTTTTGCTTCTGCAAAATGCATTTCAGGCCTCAGTGGGACAGAGGAAAAAAAAAAAAAAAAATCACTTTGCCTAAGAAAACCTTGCTCAGCGAACAGAGGAGCAAACCCCAAATTTCCAAGCTACAAAATCTTAAAATTAAGTCCAGTAATTCTGAAGCGTTGTAGAGCCAGGCTCTGCCCAGCCTCTCCCACGCTGCCTTTGGGTCTAAGCACAGTCCCTGGCCTGTTGCTGTGTTATCTCCCCCCACCTCTCATACGAGCAGGACCTTTCTTTCCAATGCATTTACTCCCTTGGCACATTTGCACATGCATTTGTTCGTGATTTTTAACATACAGCCAAGAACTACAAGTTTGGCTCCAACACCACCTCCCAGCAGAGTTTTAACCCATTGCTGCTCTTTATTCATGACACGTGCTCACAGTGTCGGGGAGGTGGCCGTGGGATGGAGGGGCTGAGGCTGAAGCCGTGTGCCCCCTTCACAAGGCAGCTCTCTCAGCAGCGCGGGTGACGGAGGGGTCCCCTCGCACCAGCAGGGCTCCTGGTGCCACACACCCCCGCTGGGAAGGGCTTATGCAGGAGACCCAAGCCAGGGGAGGAAAATGGTGCCTTCAGCTGGTTTCTGGCTCTGCTGGGCTGTCCCTTCTGGCTTTGACAACTCTCATGCTGGGCATGTGCAGAAGCAAAAGCACTGGGCTGCAGGCTTTAACACCAGAGGCAGCACAGCCCCACAGTACATTCTACCGATATGCTAATATTGTCTTCATATTTGAGAAATAGCTGAAAGACCATTTTTAGCAAATTACCTGTTCTCTGAGAACAGAAAAGCCCGTTCTAATGCAAAATTCTCTGCTTGGAAAAGCAGCAGGAGAGGGGATTTTATCTGTAGCTATTCCTATCTGCGCAAACTGTCACTGTTCACACGCGATGGAAGTAATTTTTCACGTGTCTCTGGGGGCTGCTGCTTCGCCCTGAAGGATAGAGGCACTGTACCGTGACACGGGTAAGTGACATTTGTCACTGGCTTCCCTGGCTTGGGCAAACACTGCCCATGGCCCCAGGTTACTGGGACTGCTGATGGTGCTACAGACTTCAGAAGCAGGGCTGGAGTGTTTGGGGGAATACAAGGCATTTTCAGAGGAGTCTTTTCTTGTCTAACCATGTTATTAGTTACCTAGGCAGAAGCCAGTTGTGGCAAGTCAAAAAGATTGCTGAATTTCACGTAGAATTAGAAGGTGCACAAGACAAAAAATCCCAACCTTAACATCATCTGCACAGCTCACGGGTGCTTGGGCTAGTTCCTGCTTCCCTCTTCCTAAAATAAGCTCTATTTATTTTTATCTTAATGGGTTAGGACTGCAGTTCCTAGGCAGAGCTAATCGTCTCAAGGGCGTCCTTGAAGTTTAAACAGAGATTTGACTCATTTTTATGGGGGCTTTTGGAGAGGGACAATCACTCTCTGAAGACTGCTCACAGACTTCCAAACTCCTTTTAGGCAGGGCAATAAAAATTACTCAAATCACCAGTCCACACTAAGCCAGGAGGCCTGTTGGGTAGAAAAATGCTTTTTCCTTCCCATCAGTATCTCCAAAAACCCCCCAAAGCACCAACACTCATCTTTGAAGAGCAGCACATTTTCATCGCCGTTTCCCAGTGCAATGGGGAGGCTGCACTTCAGGCTGCCTCCAGCCCTTGTGTGAACTCCAGCTATTTTGGCATTTGCTGAGTCATTTTATTCAGTTACAAAGTCATTGCTGCAAGGTCTGTATCTGTAACAGCAGAACACGTTAGCACTCAGAGAGCAAACAGGGGAAACCCCTTCCTCGCTGGGACGCAGCCCCGTCCTGCCGCCATGGGGTGGGAGCCAGCTGTGGCTCACCTTCAGGAGACACCAGAGCCACAATAACACTGTTTGCTCTGCAGGTGCTGGATGATGCACCTTTCTCTTCCCACACCAGCCACACGTTCCCCCAACCAGCTTTATCTAAAGGACAGGAAGGCACAGAGCATTGGATTTTGGAAGCAGGAGTTCTAGACACTTCTTTTCCAATATTTTTGCTAGACATAAGAGTTTAGATATCTTAAGTATTCATGTTTCACAAACTTGTTGAGGTGAAGATGGAATGCAGAGAGAAGTCTAAGAAGTTTTGAGCACCCTAGCTTTCAATCATTTCTCAGCTTAGCTGTAATATAAAAATCTATTATTTCAAACTTTAAATCTGTTAGAATTTTAACTTTAAAATTAAAGGCTTCTTTCTCCCAAGAGATTTAATCTCTTTATGTATTGTTGGATTAAAAGACAATCTTCCTGTTGGGCTTCACCTTATTTTTATGATCCTTCCTTAAGCATAAGGTTCTTGGTCTCTTGTAAACTTGATAGCTACCACAGCAGCAGGTGCTGAAACAAATGTGGTTGGTCTGGAAGTCCAACACAAAAGGAAGTCCTCTATCTTCAGATAGGTTGAGTACAAAAGGAAGTCCTCTATCTTCAGATAGGTCAAGGTGACCTGAGAATTAAGTGTCCCATGTAACACTGGAGACACTGGTTCTGTGATACCCTACAGGCTTCACAGCAGCACCCTGTGCTGGGGACACTGAGGATGTGGGCAGGTGATGGGACCTCACCAGTGTGGAGCAGCCCCAGCCCTGGCCAGGCAGCACCTCCCGGGCCAGGAGGGGAATGCACACAAGGGCAGGATGGCTTTGCTGCCCAGGAGGAAGCACCACAACAGGCCCCAGCAGCCCATCCACGGTGGAGAGCATCACCCCTAGCCCCACACGTGTCCTGTGGGGCTCTATCAAGGTGGACATCAGCCCAAGCTGGCTCCCCGTGATCAATGGTGAGAACCGCGATGGTCACAGCAGGAGGCTTTTGCTCAAAAGCAGCACAGCCAAGATGCAACCTCTTGTAACATTTCCCTGCAACATCCAGCTGAAACAAAGCAAACTGAAAACCGAGTCTCAGGGCTGCTCTGTTTCACTGCGAACGGGCAGTTTATTTATTTAACAGAGTGTGCTGCCAAACATGTTCTCCAGCAGAGCTGTCTGGGACCCCGGGTGAGCTGGGCTCAGCGTCGCTGCACAGACATATTTTCCATCTGCCTGGCAGCAGCTCCCCAGCCCTGCCTCTGCCTCTCCCCACGCCGCCCAACTAGGTCAGGCTCTCCCTGCCTTCAACACACCACCCACCCGGCCACAAAGTCACCCATAACAGCGGCTTCCCCAGTCACACCTTGAGTCGTCTGGCAGGACTCCTGGGTTCTCAAGCATCATTTCATCCCTGGCCCGTTTTGCCCCCATCCCAAAGCCCCGGGACAGCTGCCATGGGGCAGTTTTGGGATACCCTGGAGGCATTTAAAAGACATGCAGATGTAGCACTGAGGGACATGGTTTAGGGGTAACTCGTCAGTGCTGGGTTAACAGTTGGACTCGATCTTAAAGATCACTTCCAACTGAAATACTGCGATAAGCATAAGTGCTTTTTCTCCTCAACACCATTAGTGTCTGAGGAAACCACTGTGGCTTCCCAGGCCAACCCACTGGCACCCCTGGCAAAGCCTATGGGAAGTCTTCATCCATAAGAAACCCAAGGCTGGACCCACGCACCTGCAACACCTTCAGCCTTTTGGCTGACTCCAGCCCCACACCCAAGCGGGAGAGGCTCTCCAAGAGAACTGGATTCCTACAGACTTGATGGAAACAGGCAAAAAAATGAAAATTCATATTCAGCCAATCGCCAGAGCTGCCCCAGGAGCGAGCAGCTCTTGGAGCCCGTGTCTGGGGGCGTCCCCACCTGTACTCACCCCAATGCCAGCGGGGCAGAGGGAATGGGGGCAGCTCCCCACGTGTACGCCAGAGCTCTGCAGCCATAGGGCAGCTTTTCTAAAACAGCCTTCACCCCAGTGAAATTTAAGGTGATGATTGTGTGGGTTTGGGGAGGGGGGGTTGTTCAATGGCAGGGAACATCGCTGAGCCATTGGGGAGCTGGGGGCTGGGATGCTGGCTCTGAAGGAGCTCTGAGGGACCATCAGCTCAGCTGGAAAACAGCCCTCTCCTTCCTCGGCCAAACATTCCCACCCCTCCCTGGAGCAGCTGAACTGATTACAGCTCACAAAGCAAACTGTACACGTACTTCATTTTTACATTATATCCATTCCCACCATCTTCCAACAGCAAGTGCAGGGGAAAGCTTAAAAAAAAAAAAAAAAAAAAAAAAAAAAAAAAAAAAAAAAAAACACAACAGCTCCAATAAGCATGGATTCTGGCAGAGTAAGGAATGAAAGTTCCAGCACACTCCCAATCAGCTGATAATCTGCACTAAGCAGAAAATATTTTCTGGCTGGAGAGCTGCAGGGCAGGCTCTGGGAGCCCCGCCACTGAGCACATGCCTGTCCCAAGCCCTGTGCAGGTCCTGGCTGGGGCAGAGCAGGGTGAGGATGGTCCCAGGGCCATCACTGCCCTCCCAGCAGGGTGATGGGTCCCCAATAAGATCCCATGCTGCCAGCCTGGGCATCTGTGGGGCCAGGCTCCACATCTGGAGCATCTCACAGCTCCCATTTAGACTCTCCCCATCGCACCCTTAAAAAGACAAGTCTGGTCCGTACCAACCCCAGCAGCATCACAGAGCATCCTGCAAAGCGGGGAGGGAGGGAACGGGGTCAGAAAACTCTTCAACCCCTCATTTGTGTCTCTGCATGTCCCTGGGGGCTCTTAGGCAATTTTGGGAGTTGTAAAGAATTTGAAATTCTGGGTTTAATGGGCTGGTACAAGCCAGGATATCAACCCTGCTCAGGGCTGCAAGACCGTGACCTGCTGCAGAGGAGAAACACGAAGGGACAGGGATTTACTCCAACTCAACACTTCTGCGTTGGCAGAGCTAAGGCTGAACTTCAGCCACTGCTTCTGGTGTTACTGCCTTACCTTAAGCAATTGCTAGGGGTTGGGCAATTACTTTGTAATCTTAAAAACAAAATCCCAGCCCTTTCCAAAGACAGAAGCATTCCCACCCTGCCATCCCTACGGCAAAGTCTCCATGTTTTGTCTTGCATGTCCACTTGAAGCAGGACTAAGGTACATGCAGGTACATTTGAGAGGTACATCCTCTCAAAATCCACATTTGCAAAGCTGCTGCTTCACCTCTATGTCCTTTAATTCAAGCCTGCAGTGATGTGCCATAATCTGTTTGTCTAAATTGTTTCAGAAGCGACTTTCCACCCTTAGGACAAGATTTGCTTCCCTTGCTAATGCTCTGGGATTAAGTGTCGAAGTTGTTCCCTAGTTCAATCCATGTTCCTCGTTCCCTTACAAACTCTGCTTGCACAGGCAGGGGCTGCAGCAGAGAGAGGCAGAATTGGTCAGAAATGATCCTGAACCTTTCATGCAAGACTGCAAGGGAGAGAGAAAGGGAAAAACTCCCCAAGCACCAAGAGCTTTCCAGCCATATGTGCGTAAAGATTTCTTCCCGTGCCACGTGACAGAGGAAGAGGCGCAGACCCATTACACAATAACAAAAATATGCCTTTGGCAACATTGAGCCAAAACCTGGAGCTGCTGCAGGAAGCAAGCAATCTGCACAAAACGGATTAAAATGTTAATAGAAAATAAAGACTGAAGTCAGTATCGTACACCCCTCCGAAGGACGCCGCTGCAGCAGGACGGGGCTCGGGCTCTGCCCGTGACACTCATCGGCAGCAAAACATCCGCCTGAAGTCCTGTAGCTTTCCAGAGCCTGTCAAGATCTCACTGAAGAGATTAGTCGTGGTGAGTAGATTCACTTTTCCTTCCCCTCACCCTCCTCTTAACTTTGAAAACTTACCAAATAAGGTCTAAATCATTGAGCACTCAGGTTTCCAGTGCCTGCACAGGAATCCATACAGGCAACAGTCACCAGTTAGAAGAAATAGTCCAGGAAGGAAACATTCCTCAGACTTTTACTGGGAGCATCTACCTCATACAGCTGAAACTGCAGCCTCTCCCTTCGCTCTGGTACCAATCAGCAGCTTCTGTAACAGGGCTTTAGCCTGGGGCTAGGGAAGGTTTGCCACGGGCATCCCTGGCTGCCTAAAGCTGAGACAGTGATGCAGGCTCAGGCACAGAGGATGCACTGCTCTCCTTTATCTCTTTTGACATTGCTTTGTGCAATAGCAGATAACAGATCAAACTTCTATCTGACGTAACTACTTCATTGGCTTATATCAGAAATTAAATAGGTCCATCTCAGCTGCTGTCACCAGTGGCACACCATCTTTTATCTATATCAGCCCCATACACCCAAGGGCTCCTTAGGCTTCCACCTTGGGGATGCCACAGGGCAACCACTAGAGCTGAGAATTAGGCTCACAGAGGTAATGATTATTTTGAAGACTAATTAAGACACCTTGAGGTATGCTGGGAAATTGTGAAGTAAGAAGATGGTTGTTTTGTTTAAGAAAGCCTCAAGTATTGAAAGGAATCAGAGTAGAAAGTCGCAGTTTTTTGTTCACTGCTGGGTCCCCTCTCGGACCACCCTGCTCCTTCCTCCCTCCCTCTGAGCAGCGACTCCCCCCAGACTCTCCTCTCCCTCTCTGTGCTTTTGCTCCCCGTGGGCAGGCACACGCCACCATCTCATGGCACAGGGTGGCCAAAAATCACCATCTGGCCACCGCACATGCCACCAAACCACTCCACACCTGGCAAACCCTCCGGGATTTTCCCTCTGATGGGATTTCAGCCCAGCTGCCCTGTAAGCAGCAGAAACTACCACTGATCCTTCATGCCTGGGGCTCACCCTTACAGGCAAAATCTTTTCTTACAGAAATGCCTTTTTACTGCATATAGATCCATAGAATTGGTCTGCCTTCTTAACTGTGAAGTGTCTTGGGAAATTCACCTGTAGCAGGGCTGGGACAAGGGTGGTCACACGGGGGCTCGCAGGAGCCGTGCAGAGCAGGGATGTCATGGCAGCCAAAGCCACAGGGGGGGCAGGGCAAGAGACGTGTCCCCCCAAGTTCCTGCCCATGAGGCCCCTCCAGCAGCATCCCACGCTGCAGCAGCCAGCAGAAACAGGAGCTGCAGGTCCAGACTGGGGGCTGCAAGGAGCCCTGTGGGGACACAGCTCCTAGGGATGGAGGCTCTGGGGTGACAGAGTGATGTGCTGTAGCTCTGGCAACAAGGAGCACACACAGAAAAGCTATTGGAGAGCACAGGTTTGCAGTCCCCCTGCACAGATGCTCCGTGACACCCACAGGATGCTCAGGTTTCAGCCCAGGGGGGTCAGGTTCAAATCCTTCCAAGCGTATGAACGTCTGCTTCAAACAGGCTGGTGAGGGCAGCTGGGGAGCCAGGCAGGATACCCGCTCCCAACATCTCTCTGTCCTGAGGAAAGCTATGCCCCAGTCTCACCTCCCCAGGAGAGCCAGGCACGAGGCAGCCTCTGACAAGGGCTTGGACTCCAGCAGGATGAGAAGGACCCACCGAAGCAATAACAATGACAACAAAACATTCTAAACCAGAAAAGGGGGTGTCGTGTAAAGGCCATGAGGCAGAGTCAGAACATCCCATTTCAGTCACACGCTTGCTTTGAGTCACAGGCAATAGGACAAGAGGAAATGGCCTCAAGTTGCAGCAGGGGAAGTTCAGATTGGATATTAGGAAAAAATTTTTACACTGAAAGGGTTATTAAGCCTTGGAATGGGCTGCCCAGGGATGTGGTTGAGGCACCATCCCTGGAGGTCTTTAAAAGACGGATTGACATAGAGCTTAGTGACATGGTTTAGTGTTGCTTTTATATCAGTTAGGTTGATGGTTGGACTAGATGATCTTAAAGGTCCCTCCCAACCTAGACAACTCTATGATTCATACATTTCATCATGTAAGTGAAGACACATAAACGTGCAGCTTGTTAGGAAGAGAGAAGCCAGTAATCTCTCAGCTCTGCTTGTACCATGCCTGCAAATCAGAGATGCTCTGTCTTTATTGCTTTATTTGCCCTGAGGTGTTTTCTATAAAGTTGTACCCTAGCTCTAAGATTCAGAAGTGAATGCTATCCAAAATTGTCCCCTTCCTGGTTTGATTCCTGGCAAGCATTCTCCAAAATTACCCGGTGGGGATCCACAGGACAGTTTTATAGACCACACTGATTCCGGGGGATATTTTTAAGTACTAGGAAGAAAAGCATCTCTGCGTGCATAAGACCTCACCCATCACCAACATGCTGTCACCAAGGGAGAGGCACTCCACACGTGAAGGGCCAGAGCACCTCTCCTCTTGGTAACACGTTTGATAACCTCAAGCAAGTGCTGGTGCTGCCCCAGGCTCTGCTGGGGAGAAGCCAGGAGATGGCAGCCCTAAGGCCTGGCCAGCCATGCCCATGCTGCAGACACCTGAGGTAACTTGTTTAAGTGAAGCTGGTCCACTTTCTGTTCCCACGCTGAAATCAGTGCCCAATGCCACTGTGCTCTCCCCAGGTGCTGAGAAGCTGAACATTTGCATTTCAGCAGCAGATACAAACTACAGCCATTGCCAGTCCCCACACCTGGTCAGATGACACAGGATCTCCTCTCCTCCCTGAGCAGCCCTCCCCCAGTCAGCTCCCATAACCCCCGGGCACAGGGCACACTCACGCACAACAGGCATCGGTCACGGCCCAAAAAGTCTCCAAAGCCCTATTAACAAAGACATTAAGTAAAATGTCACTAGAAAAGTAAGACCTCAGCTAAAACCGTGCAGCAGGGGCTCCGGTGCCAGGCCTGTCGCCCGTACTGCAGAGAGGAAAGATGCTGATCTGTTTCCAATTTGCTTTTTGGAGCTCATCATACGTGCTACATCGAGGAGCAATTTTCCTTTTAAGGTGGAACAGCATGAAGTTTGTTTTCTTTCAAAGAGAATTCTTTAAGAGGTTATTTATAGCTCCTCTTGTGAATGTGACTGTGCTTTGCATCCCACACGCGCTGCTGTGATGTGGGATGAAATGTTCTTGTGCAGCCATTAATTAACACCGACTCGGGAGCTGAGCCAGAGCATGGCTCCAGGTAGTCAAATATCCCCTGTCTATCCAAGTACCAGTACTACTGACCTCCCAGCCTTGGGGTATTTTCCATTTGCCACTTTTTATCACATTAGGTCAAGTAACTGGATTGTCTGAAGGTAACAGAAGTAGTTATGGTGAGAGACTTTAAGAGAAGGAGCTGCCCTCCTTGCCCTGTGCTCCCTCTTGCCCATTTCTTCTCCACACGAAGCAGTCCCAGCTTTTTTCCAGGTTATGCTCTGCAGTGACATTTTTCCTTGCCACTACTTATTACTGTCAGCCCTCTCCAGACGCCTCTCACTTCTCTTCTGCCCCATTTGAGGTGGTTACTGGGAAGCAGGGATGTAGCTTTCCTTGGGACCTCCCCACTCCACCAACATTCTAACACTTTGTTTCCCTTCCCGTGAACCAAGAAGCCTTTATTCCACTGTCTGCATTAATACTTATCCATGATTTCTGTCTCACAAGGCCATTAAACCGGCACCTTTCACCAGCAGCAAATAAACTTAGGTACAAGAAAAGCGGAAGAGCTGAAGAACAAAATAGCTCAGCAGCCAAATCCAGCCCGGAGATCTGTTTTGCATTTCCCACTCCTCTGCATGTTCTTAATTATACATAGTACAGAACTGGGGGGCTCCCACTCAGCATTAATATGGAGCATATTGCTTGCTGGATTTGGAGCATATAATATGCATTTCCACCCCCTTCAGGAGCCAATAGCAGGATAAGAGTGCTAAGGCCAACGTGAAATTTATACAATACTTTAAGCATCTTATTTCCAGTGCAGGAGTTAAACATAACACTACTGGAGAGATGCTAAAGCCTCCTGGTGTTTGGCTTAGTGACAAGCAGGACCTCGCCTGTGCAAAAGGCCACCGACAGATTGAAAGGTCTGGGATATCCCAGCTCATCTTCTACTGCTTCTGCGTTTAACTGTACATTTGCTTCAGCACCAAGGGATGAAGAAATATATGAAAGGGAGTTTGCTTGCTTTTCAATCCTCTCTTATATTCTGTATTTCGTTAGCAGGACTTTGGGATGTGTTAAGAAAGCCCATGCAAATGGATGATTCTTGTAAAGTATTTAGCCCCCTACCATCAGAGGCAGCTGTAATGAGGGAAAAGACAAAATTTCACAGGAGCCTTTTCCATCAAATAAAAGTGCCTACCTTTCAGCCCAAGGGCAGGAGTTGTATCAAAGTCATACATGGCTAATTCCTTAAAAAAAAAAAAAAATCCTTTGGCTTCAGTTTGATCTCTCCTAATCAAAGACCTACTGAGAAAATAGTGAACCAGCCACAGATTTGCATGGCGCAGTTTTAAGCTTTGTGTCTCATTTCTCCAAGGGCTACTCCAGCTTCAGAAGCTGAAAGAATGAAATTGGGCCGGGGGATGCCTTTCATCCCCCACCAGCTTGTTTCCATATTCATACAACTGAAAAGATCCCAACTCCATCAGCACCTGCCCTCAGCCTGTGGCTCGTGGCCACCAGGGAGCACTAGCCCTGCTGTGGAGCTGGTGGTCATGACTGTAACTGGCAGAGCAAAGGGAGGGAGAAATCCTCAGCCTGGGCATGGGGAGGCTTTCTCTTCTGGGGAGGAGATGGCAGGAGCAGCTTTGACATGGGTAGTCAGAGACTGTTTGATCTCTCCTAATCAAAGACCTACTGAGAAAATAGTGAACCAGCCACAGATTTGCATGGCGCAGTTTTAAGCTTTGTGTCTCATTTCTCCAAGGGCTACTCCAGCTTCAGAAGCTGAAAGAATGAAATTGGGCCGGGGGATGCCTTTCATCCCCCACCAGCTTGTTTCCATATTCATACAACTGAAAAGATCCCAACTCCATCAGCACCTGCCCTCAGCCTGTGGCTCGTGGCCACCAGGGAGCACTAGCCCTGCTGTGGAGCTGGTGGTCATGACTGTAACTGGCAGAGCAAAGGGAGGGAGAAATCCTCAGCCTGGGCATGGGGAGGCTTTCTCTTCTGGGGAGGAGATGGCAGGAGCAGCTTTGACATGGGTAGTCAGAGACTGATACCATAGGGGAAACTCTCTTTTTTACTATCTCTGTTACCACGTGCAGAACCCCAATTCTATTTTGAATGCTTCTAATACCTCAATCACCTCAATACCCCACCAATCTCAGGTGGGTCATGCCTGAAGATAGCTTTCATCATTCAGCCTGATTTTGAGCATCTTCTCTACACTGCTGCTATATCTGAGCACTATTTCAAGATGCAGTGGAGTTACCCAAGAGTTGCACATGGAGCATAGATAGCCATTTGCAAAGAGCTCCATGCACAGACATCCAGAGGAATATTTTACTGTATAATAAGTGTTCTGTATTATTAGCAGTTTCATGGGAATAGCTTTATTCCAGAAATTATTTTCTATCACTGTCTCCCCATCCAGGAGGGGAGTGAGACAAGCCCAGGAGGCTCAGCCTCCCATGATGAAAGAAGGCAGAGCCTGGGATGCTCCAAAAAAGCATCTGCTTGGCATCTGCTATACTTAAAGCAATTGCTACTTTACAGAGACAGGAGACATAAAAACTGAGCTACTGCCCCACTCAGAGAGGTAGGTCAGCGTGGCAAGGGGTTAGGAAACCCCCGGCAGAGGTGCAGTGGGGCTGGTCACTGCTGCAGGGGTGGCTGCACCCCGACACCGAGCCAGAGACATGGGGGGCAATTGGGCTGCAGGCTGTGCAGTGCCACGCAGCCAGGGTGCAACGAGGAATGGGACATCCCCAGTCAGCCAAGAGGCAGTAAGGACTGCCTTGGCCCAAAGCCTCCACAAGCCCGTCTTCTAAATTCAGCCCTGCACCACATGATTTTGGTTTTGTGCTGGGTAAGAAACCCCAGTGACCCAGCCACTGGGCAGGTCTTACTGGGAACTTTACACCAAAACCCTTTCTCTATCCTCCGCTCCCCTAGCCCTGAGCGGCTGCTTTCTGCACCCCTCTGCCATCACTATTTGTGTTCCAGGGAAAAGGAGGAAAAAGAAGCCCAGGGAACAAAACGAGGGGTGGCCACAGACAGACTCAGAGAAGACCAGGTTTCAAAAAAAAAAAAAAAAAAAATGTAACGCTCAGGCCTAGAAAACTCCATGAACCAAATCTTTGAATTGTTTTCACACCAAAACAAACAGCTCCTCCACCCTGCCAAAAAAAAAAAAAAAAAGGCTCAATTATCTCCTATGCAAGCTTCTAAAACACACCGTCCCAGCGGAGGGGACACCACTGTACCCACACATGCTGGCTGCCACACACAACAGCCACGTCCCATCTCCTTTTTGCAGGCTGAGCCATGATCTCTGCTGTCCTCCTGCTCTGGACTGTGCCCTGTGTGGCAAACCATATCCTGGGGGGCTTTGCCAAGGGACCGCAGCAGGAAGGTCCCCAGCTGGCATGCAGCCTGCCGGGACCCCCCGGGCCACCAGGACCCCCCGGCTCACCCGGGGCTCCAGGGACGGTCGGCAGGATGGGATTCCCAGGCAAAGATGGCAAGGATGGCAAGGACGGGGATAAAGGCGAGCACGGAGATGAAGGTAAGAAAGAAATTCTTCCTAACACAACAAGGGTAAAATGTAAAAGCAATAGTGCAACAGCCCAGTTAACAGCAACCTGTCACCCCAAATCTGAGCCCCAGGACAGACAACATCTCATAGGAAGCTCTTCCAGAAACTTCCACTCTCCCCCCCCCTCCAACATCTCACACTTGTCAGCTCCAGCCAGGAGGGTTCAGACTCACACTATTTGCTGACAGCATCGTAACGCTGTGTGCAGTTCCCATTGCAACGCTGCACTTTGCTATGAGGTGAGGTTTGTCCCTGTTCCAATATATGCTCTTTAGATGAGACAATGTGGTGCTCTCAAGCAAAACAAAGCCAGGCAAAAAATGAAGTAATCGCTCCCTGGAGCACTCCAGCTGGGTGCCAGGCACTGCTCTGACCATGCTCAATCTAAATCAAAGCTAACAACAACCCTTCTTTAATCCTGAGGCGGGGCTCTCCTTCAGACCCAGCCGCACAGTCAGTAAGCATCAGGACCTGCTTTGGGGAGGAAGCAGTGATTTCCCGTTGCCACACTAGAGTGCACTCCTGATTCAGCGTAACACCAGTGCACCAAAGCTGCACCTTCTCATCTCCCACCCCCGAAACGGGGAATCTGGAGGGCAGGTTTCCACCCGCAGCTGCATTTAAATCTAGTCTTGCTACAGCAGGTCAAGAGACAGGCTATAAATTCCTACGAATTTGTCTTATATCAGACACTCCTGCAATCAGCATTGATCAGCAGTTTCAGCATCACTGCGACAGCCCAGCTCGCTTCCCATCTCACGGCAGTCCCTGCACTGGGTGTCTTCTGGCTCACGACTGGTTCATCCCCCAACTAGGCTGGGCTTTTTACTACACCTAGAATTTTAGTTATTTTTTTTTAAAGAACAGCTTCATGTTAAATGTTAAGAAAAAAAAAAAGAGAAAAGAGATTAAAAGTACCCCATCTGCTCAAAGCTACATTCCAAAAGCACCACAAACCTGTCCCACTCCTGAAAAACCTACACATTTAAAGCTTGTTCTTGGCTAGCTTTATAATTAATTGCTCCTTTTTCTCAAGCGAGGCAGATAATTGAACCAGCCTTTCAGTCCTTACAAGGGACAGACTGTCCTGCTCCTGAGTCCCATTGTTATCATGCCAACAACCCACCTAACACAGTTACTCAGTCCTGACAGATGTCCAGCCCCAGGTGGTATTTCATCAGGATTCTCACCAGCAAGGTTTTCCTCCTAAATGAAAAGACACTGCTGCAATGATATAATCCCCTTCCACTTGCCATATCAGTTCTTTCACTGAAAAATTTACAAGGTTATTTGTCTTCTAGGTCCACAAGGCAGAACAGGAAACCCTGGCAAGCCAGGACCAAAGGGGAAAGCGGGAGCTATTGGCAAGGCAGGCCCACGAGGACCCAAGGGTTTAAAGGGTAATCCTGGAAAAAATGGAGCACCAGGAAAGAAAGGGCCCAAAGGGAACAAGGGCGAGACCGGGCTGCCAGGACCCTGCACCTGTAATTCCAACAAAGCCAAATCTGCCTTCTCTGTGGCAGTCTCAAAGAGCTACCCCAGGGAAAGGCTGCCCATCAAATTTGACAGGATCCTGATGAATGAAGGAGGACATTACAATGCTTCCAGTGGGAAATTTATATGCAGCATCCCAGGCATTTACTACTTCACTTATGATATCACTTTGGCCAACAAACATTTGGCCATTGGCTTGGTCCACAATGGGCAGTACCGGATCAAGACTTTTGATGCCAACACTGGAAACCATGACGTAGCCTCTGGATCAACCATCCTTTCTCTGAAGCAGGAGGATGAGGTATGGCTGCAGATCTTTTACTCAGAACAAAATGGGCTCTTTTATGATCCCTACTGGACAGACAGCTTATTTACTGGCTTCCTGATATACCCTGATCAAGATTATCTCAACGAAATATAGGATGAGAAACTAGCCTGTGGGGAAAAAATAGGAAACGCATGAGACCTCAGTCCAGCAAAGTGTAGCCTGTACATGGACATGTGTGGGATTATCATACAATTCCACATTTTAGCACGATCAGCCTTTATTGGCTATTTAGGTATTTACTTGATGCCACCAACTCATCCACAGGCTATCAGGACCAGTAGGACTCACCTTTAAGCAGCTTCATGAATCTCTAAATCTCAGAACCACCCATTATGTTTTCCATCATTATTCCAACATGCCATGGACATGTAACTTTAATACTGGTGCAGAATGCTTTGATTATTATATTATAAAACATGGAAACCAACAACCATTTCCTGAAAGCTGTGCTCAGAAATTCCCACTGATGCTGGAGACTCTCTCACTGTGCCTCCTCCTCCCACACCCTATAGTAATAATAATCCTTGTCGATACAGAGTTACACTTCACCAGCTACTTAAGAGTTAGGAAATTGTCAGCTACTTGGCCTTATCAAAGCAGCACTAATAGGCAAAGGCATCTGGTCTAAATAGAGAATGACACAAAAGAGAGATCTCATTTTGCAGGCTAAAGCCAAGACTCTTCCTAAGACACAAGCCATTGCGCTGAGCACCACCCGCATTTCTCAGATTTCAGCCTCAAAACAACCAGCGTTGGGGTCCCACTCCTGGTTTCAGACAAGCATTGGTCAACTGTGACCAGAGCCTAAACTGGACCATGCAAGCCAAATACCCATGGGCCTCCAAGCCACAGGGGAGGAGGAACTTTACAGAGAAGACTGAACTGTCAAAGTCAGCATGAACTTCACTCCAGAAACACATTCATTAATAGCCCCTTCCTTCATCCCTGCCAGTTTTTCCTGGAAGGAGATACTTGTGGTGCTGCTGAGATCCTCCTCAAGGGCTTAATGCTACAGCAAGACCCTATCTTACTGCTGCTTTACTTTTTCTATGTTGTACTTCAAGTATTACAAATGCTCCAAAACCAATGTTTTGGCTCTAAACTGTATGAAAAAAAAAAACCTAAAACAAAACCAAAAAAACCCCAGGAAACTCAAAAGCTGAACTTTTGCTCAGCTGAGCTTTCTGCTTCTGCTAAGCTGAGCATTGCAATTCTTATTCCTCCTCTGTATCAGCTAACACAGGGACATGCACCAAAATGGTTCACTATTACCAGAGCAGAGTTCTCCTGCTACAAAGCCACTGGGTCAGGCCACCTTGCCCCAGGGTGTCCAACACTCCTGTAACACAGGGGTCCCCATATCAGTAGCCCAAAGGAAGGAGTCTCTTCCTCATCATCTGGTGTATCTTCTTGTTTTCCAGTCTTATTTCTCATCTCCTTTATCATCTGGTAAAAACTCTCATGAACTTCCAGCTCCTCTAATCATCATATTTAGGCATTGAAGGGATATCCCATAAGAACAAAGGTTTTCAGGTTGTTGTTTTTTTTACTTTTACAAGTCAAAATATTTGCATGATTTTCATGAACTACATTAATTGCGTTATATCTTACCAAAATATTTTCAAGTACGTTATTTTATAAAATAAAGCTGAACAAAAGCACTGCTGGAATAGCATTGACATTTATAAAAGTGGCTTCCCAGAAAGTATTGCAAAACCGTGTTACAGATTCCACAGACGCTGTTGGGTTTAGCAATGGATTTTGTAGGGGCTGGTGCAACAGGAATATTTTCCCCCCTCCCAGCCCAGCAAGGTGGGGAATGCACAGAGTTTTCTGCTCTCTGTGGAAGGAAACCTGAAAGGTGGAAGAATAAGATCTGTCTGTTCCCCTGAAGCTGCTCACCCAGGTGGCAGGTGTCCTTTTCTTGGCAGTGGTTGCTCAGATAATACATTTCTCTTTCCAAAGCTCCCTCATTTAGGGTGTCCTGGGGTGCAGGCAGCTTCCCAAAGGCAGCAGCAATTCAAGAATGGCATTTCTCCCTCAATGCCCAGCCCCAGACTCCCACCTGGACAGCCCAGCAGGGAAAATGACTGCTTTTGGGCTGAGCTGAGGCACATGCAGGTCTCTGCCCCGACACAGGTTCCCCCGCAACAGCACGAGCTCGGGGCAGCTTGAGGGAGGTGGTGGGACATGAGAGGATGTTACCCCGACAGACCACCACCCAGCCGTGCTGCACCCAAAAGGGAAATTACATACTATGTTTTTAATTAATCCAGCAGTGCCCACAGCCCACTGCTGCCAAAAGACACTGTTTCCCTCCTCAGCACTTTCCCCTTCATTCAGGGCATTACCCATCTTCAGAAGTGGGTATTTTTGGAGTGGTTTTGGGGTTTTTTTGGTTTTGTTTTTTGCCTTTTTTTTTTTTAAATTGCTTGGGTTTTATTTGTAGTCGGGTTAGTTGTCCACTGATTTAATGAGCTGAACCCACTTGGCACCAGGCAGGTACCAGAGCTGGGAGGGGATGGGAGAGCACCACGGGGAATAGCCTGAGAAGAGGAGGGTGGAGGGGAAGCAGCTCTGAGCAATTAGATCAGCTCAGCCACTCAGTCTTCCCTTGTTATCTCCAGAGAAGGCCCCAGCAGGGAGCATCTCCTCCCGGTGACAGCCCTCTCAGGGGGACTTGTAGTCGGGTTAGTTGTCCACTGATTTAATGAGCTGAACCCACTTGGCACCAGGCAGGTACCAGAGCTGGGAGGGGATGGGAGAGCACCACGGGGAATAGCCTGAGAAGAGGAGGGTGGAGGGGAAGCAGCTCTGAGCAATTAGATCAGCTCAGCCACTCAGTCTTCCCTTGTTATCTCCAGAGAAGGCCCCAGCAGGGAGCATCTCCTCCCGGTGACAGCCCTCTCAGGGGGACACGGGCTGGTTTCCCCAGACGGGAAGCAAGGGAAGTTATTAACTGTCTGGCAGTGTAAGAAGTGTCCTTTTTATTCTAGTGAAAAGGAAAACCTGCAAATGAGCCTTTTAAGTCTGGAATATCAAAATGCAGACTATAAAGAGAACCACTGACCCCCGCTGAGTGCTCTGTGCGACAGCACTCGCTTCCAGTTGGAGGCTATGAGATCCTTCCCACGGGAGCAGCCCAGGACCACTCTCTCCAGCCTCTTCCTGCCCACCCTGGGAAACTGCCCGGCCACCCCACCAGGTCACAGTGCTGCCCTACAACCCCAGCCCCTGGCATCTGCCACCATAAGAGGACTCTGAGCAATGGAAAACCCAAACTAATAAAATGCAGCAGGCAGGAGGGAAGAACAGCTTCTTTGGATTGATTAATCTCCCATTGGGTTGAAGTCATTTGAAGATACCATGTACCATAAGCATTTCTGTGAAAGAGCATGACCATTTGAAGCGACACGCGGGCTCCTCTTGTACAGGTTTCTCTGAAAGATGGATTTCCTCTTATGATGTCTTAAAAGGAACTTGCACACTGAACACAATGTCTCCACTCAGCCCATTCCTGCAAGAAGAATCATCTCAAGCAGCTGTGGGCTCATCTCACCCAGGAGAGGAGGGAGGGAAGGGGAGCTGGCAAGGTACAAGTGTGTCTGGGTCACTTTAGGGCCAATCATTGAAATATTAAAAGAAGGGAACACACAAAACTCAAAATGACTGGCTCAGACTCTGGAGAATTTTAAAAATAACATATTCTGGCACGTTCCTGCATCTTCGGGCTGCATTTTGGTTTGTGCTGCCATTGTCTTCCAGCCAAGCAGTTATTTACTTTGTTTTAAAACTGAAACTGAGATTTACATAAAGTTCTTTTATTCCAGAAACACAAAGTTTCTGGAAAACCACCAAGTTAAGAGCTCAATTTTTCACAGCCAAGCTGTCTCAAGAGAACACCACTCCCAGGCAGCTGCAGCACCTCTGGCATGGTGGGAGAGAGCTGGGAATGGTGGTAGCTGGGTGAGCACATGGGCAGATGCCATCAGGAAGGAGGAACGTCCTGGCTGAACAGGATGCCATCCACATCTGCCACCCTCACACCAGACTGTCATGCCACAGCATCCTCCTTCACAAGCGTCAGAGCTGCCTTTTGCACCACATTTTGGCACAAGTGAGTCCTTCTGACACATCCAGCATGCTAGGGCAGGGAGGGAAGGACAGGCAGGAGCACCCACCTCCAGTGTTCAGTTGGCAGTAGAGAAAAGGCTCTGTGGGTTCAGCTTGTGGCTCATTAGAGACCAGCATGGACCTGGCTGTGACCACGTGTGCCTGCCCAAGGTCACATCCAAGGCAGAGGGGCGGCTGCTCTGCCACAGGAGCTTGTCTCTACTCCCACAGAGCCTTCTCCCTCCCACATCCATCCCTGACACCACACAGCTGCGCACTTCCAGCTCAGATTGAGAGCTCTGCACAAACATCAGCAGGGTGGGAAGGAAGCACTCAGCACCTGGTGAGCCCAAGGGCAACTCCTCCTGCCTGGTGCAGCTTCTCACCCCATAACTCAGACTCTCAAAGCCCTTTTCCTTCCCTTCAGGGCTGGTCTACAGAAAAGGACCACAAGGTTGTTTTGGGGTTGTTTTTTTTTTGTTGTTGGCATTTTTTTAAAACGATACATTTCAAAGCTAACAATTCAAAGGAAAAGCAAACATCAAAAAAATATTTTCACTGTGGAAAACTAATATTAACCATGGATTCAATGTATTTGGAGTGTCTGGAAAGTAATGATGCAATGTCACAGCTGGAAATGAAGGGAAGGCACCAGAACAAGGTGGCACCTCCCCAGCAGCCCTGGCCATATGCCCAACACGATGTCCCGTGCGCACAGCATTGCTGAGCTTCACCACTCGACCAGGCAGACCAACACCTTCAAGTCTTGATCACATCTTCCTTCTGGTGGACTAAGGAGGATCCAGGAGCATTTATCAGTCCCGCTTTGCTCTGCTCCCCAGGTGAGCCTGCCCTCCATTACACCAGTTAACACTCAACAGTTAGCACCCCAATACTAAAAAACCCCAAAAAAACCCAAACCCACAGAGAAAAAAGTTTCTTTTTTCTGTTCTTCCAGGTTTTGTCAATGCTGCCTCGCTAAATAGCACCATGTCACTGATGACCATACTATGGCAGACCCACAATAACATTACCCAACCCTGGGGGCTGATGGCAGGTCTCTGCACCCTCCCTGCTGTCCAGCCTCCTGGTGGCCACAGCCCCACTCCCTTCCCACTGCCAGGGGCCATTTCTGCACTCGAAACAAGCCGGGTCCAGCAGTACAAACTCCAGTTACACCAGGACAAGCCCACGATCCACAGCTCCCCACGTCCCACTCCAGCTCTGCTGTAAGCCCCATAACGGCCCTGTCATTCCTCCCTGCACTTTCCAGCAACCATATGCAGGAGAGGCCATGTCCCTGGTGAGGGTGCCTGGTGAGAAGTGAATGACCTCTGCAGGGAAGGGTACGTTCACAGAGTTTCTAGTTTCCACATAAAGCATTGGCTGAGAGGAGGAACAAGGAAATGAGCGCTCAGGCCAGGAAGGAGCAGGGACAAGGGGATGGTGTGCTTGAAGGGGAAACTCGGGGCAGGCTGGCTTGTGCATCGTGCCAATTATCAGGCACAAAGCTCAGTTATTCCAAGCTGCAGGGCAGCAACGGGCCCACGAGCATCCCCTGGGGGCTTTGGGTGCCCTGAGGCAAGGCACAAGCATCCCAACTCAACTCAGCATCCTCAGAAAGTCAGGAACTGCAACCGTTTCAAAGCCTCTGACTAAAACAGGCTCCTCAAGCTACCTAGAGGCACAGCAGAATTCTCTTTAAACCCTAGAATACTATATACAATATTATTCTTTCCTTGCACTGTCACAGGCTTGGTCTAGCATGGATACACGCCCAACAGCAGCTCACTGGGGTCAAAGCCCTTCATACCTGCCAGCCAGGCTTAGTAATTCCAGCTCCTAAGGACAGTCCTAACCCCTAATCCTGTAACATTGCCTTAAAAAAAAAAGAAAATAATTCATAGCTTGCTTCTACCAACAGCAGAGGAAAGCGGGTTGCAGCTCTCCAAACCCATGAACCCCAGGAGGAAAAGGGCAGCCCTGCTCTCACTCTGCCTTCATCCCTGCCAGCCACAAGGGCACAGAGCTCCTCAGCCTTTGACCAGCTTTCTTGATGGTTCTGCACTAGACCTGGTCCAGCTGAGTCAGTAAAGCAAGACATTGCTCCCCACAGCACACAAGATCTCACCCACACTGCCTGGCCCCAGCAGTACTAGCTCTTAGAGGCAACAGGATAAACCAGATTTAGGCAAAACTCCACAAACCACGTCATCCCAGTTTAACAGTGCTGAAGAAAGAGACCCTGCTTACCTCTCGCTGCACTGGTCTGTGCTTCCTTGCTGCTTGCTTTGTGTCAGCTTCAGATCTCTCTGTGAACCAGTATCACTCTCTACAATTGCAGAAAACTAGCCCAGTAGAAAAACTTGGCTCATTAAAAATGCACAAGGAACAACAGAGGAACCACACAGGCAGGGCAGTGGAAGGTATAGATGGACATGGATAACCAGAACTGATAAAGCTCTACCCGCTCATCAGCAGAAAACTGTTACACTGTGCAAAAGCACTCAAATTGGCTTAAATTAGCTCTCAGCTGTTGCTGAGCCAATCTAGCTTTGGGATCGTGCTGAAATTGGAGGCACCTGGGTAGTAAGAAGCTTGGCTGCTCACCTGGGGAAGGAGGAGCCCTGGGGGGTGCTGGGTCCTGGGCAGGTTCAAGGTGGTCCCTGTTTGTACTGGGCTCCTTGCTGGGTTTGAGGGAAGCTCCTCTCTATCTCCAGTATCCGGTGAGGTTGAGGGGTGAACAAGTCTGTGACTGGACCACAGGCATGAGCAGACATTGGTGTTGTCTGTCTTATACCTGAGAATTGACTAAAAAGCTGATTTTTTTCTATCTGGCCTCAACCAGGAGCCTTACTGACATGGGTGCAGGCTCTCTCTTTGTTTGGTGCTGTCTCTGTACCATGGTGTTCCACTGTGTTGCTTCCCCAGCTCAGCCCCAGCCTCCTCCCAGCCCCTTGTGCTGGTAGGTGAGGTGCAGGTTGCCTGAGCCACTTCTTGGTCACTTTGGTGAGCTTGATGTCCTCAGTTATTTTCAGATACCTTTGCTGCCTAAAAAGCAATTTAGAACTCAGGTTGGTAGCGCTAAAGATGTTAACTTGCTTAGTTACATGGATTTTTAAGGGAAAAAAACCCTCAACACTGATAATTTCATTGACTTACAAGTTCAACTTGTATCAGTGAAGTTTTACTGACTTTTACTTACCTGTGCTTTACCCAACCGTGATTTACTAATGATGAAAGAGTAACATAAAACTTCTCAAAGTTAATATAAACTCTAGGCAAACCTACTTTGGGAATCTCCATGTGATTTTACTTCTTGGTCTCTCAGACTGTTTTTTAAAACACTGGAAAATTAAATCAAGGCAGTTCTGTTGTGGCTAAAGCCTTTATTTTAAGCCAAACTTTCCTCATCAGAACCTGGTGAGGATTTGAATGATCCCATTTGGATGGAAAAAGATATGCTGTGGCTGCAGTCAATTTTTATGATATCAACGAATTAATGATAACGTCTGTTTGTAGTTCATTTGACTATCAGATGGAACAGTACTGGCTGGATTCCCTGGTTTATGGATGTGGCCTTGCTGGCACTCCCTCCTTCAAAATAAAGCTGTTCCAAGGTTCAAGGCTGTGTCTGAGCTCTTATCAAATCCAGAGTTACTGCTCTCTCTAATCTGTTACTGTGAACATTTTATAATATCAAATATACTGTTGGTTGGGGTTTTTTTTCAAATCAATAGGGCAGTCTATTTGAGCCCTGCTAATGAGAGGAGAATCTTATTCGTGATTTGTTTCTATTTTTAATATCCATGCAGCATCTGAAGGAAACTTTTGATACATCATACTTAATTTATTTTCAAATGGAACAAGTGGAACACATGGACCTTATTCTGGCAAAATAAAGTCTTTTGGCTGCAAAATTAAAACCAATATTATATGGAACAGTTTTTTCTAATTCACTTGGAATCTCAGATTTTTTTAAATAATTCAGATTTTAAAATTAAAAGTTTTAAATCAACAGATGCTAGACATGATTTTCTGAAAATCCATACCACATTCATACTACTGAAATGTTATTTCAAAGAACTGATATTCTTTCTTTCAAATAATACACTATCAAAAAATGAGAATTATATTGATATAATACAAGTATAAAAAATTTGTTACAGAAAGTGAGTATATTATTGTATGAACCATGAACAGACTACTTGTAAAGAAATGCTCTGGCTGTTATTCAACAAAATAGCTAAGGACGTGCTCAGTTTTAAGCAAAAAGACATGAGGTTTTTTTCTTTGCTTTAATCTAAGGCACCTAAGTACTTTGTTTAAGGGACACCGGGATGTACTTAAAAGAAAATAGGGGAAAATTATTTCTGACGGACACTTGGTGGCAGCTTTTATCTGTAGGCTTAATAGCTGTTGCCACTTAACTTCACTGCTTTGCTTTTATAGCGGGGGACAGCCAGCAAACACAGACTATAAACAACTGGGGTATGTTTTCCCCAGAAGATCTGGTCAACAACTTTCTTTGATCACAAAAATATTTTCCCACGAACACTAAAATCAACACAAATATTTATCTACTGAAGGAGACAGATTTTTGTTGTTCCTTTCCTTTAGGAAAACAACCAAGGAACAAAAATTTTGTGAAGTTCTTTTGCAAATTCCAGTGCAGAATGAGTGGCAATTATTATTATTTTTTTTAAATGCCTAATTCTAAAAATGAAATTTTAAATGGGAAAGCCATTGCTAGGCCTGGTAAATGTTCTCATGAAAACTCTTCATCCTTAATGGATCAACAGTGAGATTTGGGTATAAAACAGGTTGCATGGTGATTTTGGCTCCTGGAATTGCTGAAGCAGAACTCTAAGAAAGCCTTGTTGAAAGATTTCAGTTCAATCTGCTGAAATACCCCCTGGACTATCAACAGGACCCTCGGAGGCCTGGGAATAAACCTATGTGGTGCCTTGGGCTCTTTGGGTATAGAACTTGGAAAGGATGAGGGTCTTTGGGCTCACAGGGCAAAGCAGTGCCAGAGACCCAGTCTTGAAGCTTTAGCCAGGCTGAGCTCTGGTGGCAAACCACGAATCTCCAAGTTCTGTGGCCACACATCAGGGTCCTGCTATGGCTGGTGCTGTCACTGCTGTGTGACAGGGATGGGACCCAGCCCAAAGACATGAGCTGTGGTTATGCCTGGGGTACGGAGAACAGGGAGAAGTGTATCCTCTGTTTAGTCCCAGCTCAGCATCTGCACAGGACAGAGCTGCTTTCTGGCACTGTGAGCGGGAAACCTTGACATGCGGCCCAAAAGGGAGCTGTGCTCCTGCCAAACCTCACACTCAGACATGGGCAAGCGCTACTGCGGGGTTCTGGTAGCTGAAGATAAGGCATCTTGGATGGGGAATTGTAAAACAAGGGAAAAGTCGATCTCTTCTGTTAATAATGAGCACATTTATTGAGTATTCAGAGCCTTCGTTGCTGGGAGAAGTTTTATATTTCATTTTCTCCAGCAATTTTGCTTGCACTACCCTTTCTAGTCCAGCTAGGAGCAGACCCAAGTCAGCCGCGTCCGGGTGTTGCTGTGTTGCCCGAATGCCCCCCGGTTCGACGGCTGCTGGGAGGGGGGTCCCCCAAACCCATCCTATCCCACCGCACCCCACCCCACCGCACCCCGCGGGGCTGGGGGCTGCAGGAACCGCACAGGTGCTCCCGCCGATGGAGCGCAGGGGCACGGCGGGGGAAAAAACTACCCCTCGCCTGGGGCAGCCAGCTGTTAATTAGCGCCAATTAACCTAAGAGCCAGACGGGTGGAGGGGGGGGGTAGCCTCACCCCCCTCCCCTTCCCGCCCCCCTCCTACTCCTCCCGCCGGCTGCGGGGCTCAGCCCGGGCCGCCCCACCGAGGCTGCGGGCAGCGCTCCCGCCGAGCCGGGCCGGGCCATGCCAGCCGCCGCCGGGCACGCCACGCCGGGCGATGATGGCTCCGGCCGGTCCCGGTCCCGCTGAGGGATCTCAGGGTGCCCGCTGAGGGGTCGCTCCCGGCGGTCGGGGGCGTTTAGCAGCGCCTTGAAGGTAGTAAATAAATCCCCGCGTTGAGTGATGCTCATTAGCGGGGCGCGGGAGGCGGGCGGGGGCCGGTGCGGCGGGCGGGGGCCGGCGGAAACGGCCGCGGGGCTGCGGGCGACTTGTCCGGTTTGTTCTCCCTCCCAGCAGAGCGGCCCGTCTCTTCCAGACCTTTGTCTGGATGGGAAGAAAAAAAGGATGGAGGAGCAGTGGTGGAAAGGGGAGCTGGCAGCAGACATCCATCAGACCTTGAGGACGAAGGTTGGGTCCCACTTTGTTCCTTTCCCTCCTCCTCCTCCTCCTCCTCGCTCCCCCGTTCCCCCTCCCCCGGCGCTTCCCTCCCCGGCAGAAGCGCCCGGGCACCGGCCCCCGGGGAGGGAAGGGGCGTTGAACAGCCCGGGCTGGGGGTCGGTGTGGGAAGACTGGCCCCCCGGCAGGTCTCGGAGGCGCAGGTCTGCCCAGAGCTCCTCCTGCGCTCTGCTTTTTGACCGAGACTTGTTCAAAACCCAACCTGTGTCAATTCCTACTTAAAAAATACCTGCCTGGAACTTTTCAGTAGCTTTCCCTTAGGCGGGGTGGTGGTGGTGAGCCCTTGTATTAAATGCCAAGGGGAGGCTCATGTCAACCCGCAAAAAGTCAGCATATCATGGGATCTGGAGAAATACTATTGCTTCTTTTTCAACAGATAAATGCTAAAGTTGAGTAAAAGGTAGGATCCCGTTCCCTGGCAGGCTGCAGAGGAGCTGAAGGATGTACGGATGTGGCTTGTGATGTTTTTTCTAGAAGTTGTAGCGTATCGTTTATGCACAAAATGGAAAACCAGTAAAACGTCCTGCAACAAGGAAAATATCCCTGTTTGAGCTGGTGTTCGGAGAAGAGGTAGAACTAAGGCTGTTTGTTCACTTTTCACATTTCCTTAGATAGACTCAACTCTGGAGAAAAGGTCTAAATGGAGTTTAGCAATCTTAAGTTAAAGTGATGAAGTTATAGCTAACAAAGTTAATGCTTTGGACGTTCTGTTCCCTTTGTTTTCTTTGCAGGCATTTAGCAATAAATTATGTCAGGTGAGTTAATTGTTATCAGGTCTCTGAGAGGGGGTTGGTTTGTTCTCATGTCCTCCAGCTGAGGCAGGTCTTCCTGGCCCTACAGTGGGGGGAGGAATAACTAAGAGAATCCAATTGATGGGAGTGTTGAAAGGTCGGGGGAAGCTTTGATTATTGTGGTGATTTGTTTTTTTTAGTTTATCAACTATCTTTTAATCAACTATTTCATTCTTCACCCTGCTTTCTGGATGCATCTGACAAGTCTAGATTGCTAAAACTTCTTATGTGTATATGAATACTAACTTAGGCCAGCTGAAATGACAAGAATTGCTTAAATTCAAAGAACTTGCAAAGAGGGAGAAGGGACTCTGGGCTGCTCTGCTTTTTCTGCTCTGAAGAAGGTTCACAACTCTTTCTGCTTGGATGACTTTAATCCAAATTCTGTTCACCTTGTAAGGGCTACTTTTCTTCTGAAGGAAGTACTACATGAGGATTCAGAATGCAAGTATATCAGGCAAAAATAATCCCAGTCCCTAAAACCACTTTGGTTCCCTTCTTGTGTTCCCCCCCTCAAGTACTGGTCTGCAGAAACAACTCTTGAATATATTGCTAAGGTTTGCTTTTTTGCTATCTGAAGTCTCAGAATTTACTGTAGAATGTTGTGGAACTCCTCAAAAGGATAAGTAGTTTTGAGGTACTGAAGTCAGTTTTGTGAGCATGGACTGGTTTTAGGGATGCCTATGGCCATTGCATAGAACAAAGTAAGTGTCAATAGTGGCATCCCCACTGTAGGGTATTAGTGTTAATGCATTATTGGTGTATGAGCAAGCTAATACTGGAACACAGAAAATTCAGGCAATGGTACCCTCAAGCCTAAGTGACCTCTCTGGTTTAAGATACTTGCTGAGGAGTCCTTCTCTGGAACAGTGTCTGTCTCTGGGCTTGGGTGAGAAGAAACAGGTCTTAGTTCTAGCATGTGAATCTGACAGGAAAGGTAAAGATACTCGTCAAGGAGTTGAAATGCAAGTTGCAGGCTATCCCACTTTTTTTTGAAGAACATGCTTAAAGTCTGGGTTTAAGGTAAGGAATAAAATGTCCCTTCTGTTGTTTTAGGAAAAGAGTTATATTATTTAAAAGGTTCTTTAGAAACACTTTTTTCCAGAATAATTTTGACACACAAATAGAGGAGACGTATGCCTACTGTGAAACAGCCCATGTTTTATGTTAATAACTGGAAAAAAAAAAATGTTATGCCATCCCTCCCATCCCCCCAGTTGGATTTGGGAGTTCTCCTTAACCTCTTTGAAAGTTGGTGTCCTTTGTGACAGATGTTGTGTGCTGTATCTGATGGATACGTTCTGCATGACAGCAGACACTGAATGCGTGTTGTATACCTGGCTTCTCATTCAGAGAGGGCTGAAAGATGCTGTGAGGCTTTGTGACTTCCCAAAGGCTCTAGCTCAATGTGGAGGAAATTAATAGCCTCTGAATTGTCTGACCAGTAAAATATCTGTGCTGTGATTATTGGGATGTAGTGTTAAGCTTAGTGGGACTGTATTGTGTTAGTTATTGAGCGTGCTGACCTAGTGGAGCAAAACGCCTAAATTCCAAAAGTGCTACACACATCCTTAGGCTTTAAACGAAAGGTTAAAGTATTCCCCTGGATTAGGTCAGAACATTAAACCTGTTGCAAAACTGAGCCAGGAAGGAAAATAAAAATTGGAGCATACTGTGTGTGTTTGTAGGAGAAGAGTCTACATGTGCCAAGCCAAAAAAAGTGCTGTGTGTATGCACTGATGCTTTCTGGTACTTCAGCTACTTCTACAGCGGCCCTGTGATACTGGTAATGGGGAGGTACTGGGTGTGCCAGGCAGCTGACTTCCACCTCAAAAACCAGAGCCCTCTCTGAACAGTCGTGGGACTGCTGCAAAGCCTGCACATACCACTGCTGGCTGCTTCAGTAGCCCTGAGTACCCCGTGAGCATGGAAAGCTGAGGAACAAGGCAGTTTTGGGGGTTGTTTGTTATTTAAAGTTGAGGAAATGCTTCACTTTAGAGGGCAGTCTGTGTGTCCCAGAAATAAGCGGTGTCTGTTTACTATTCCTCCCCCGTTTTTGTGCTTATATTGAGCAGTTTCCTTCCAGGATATGTTCGTTTCCTGTAATTAATGAGCATTACTAGATCTCTCTGCATTTCCCTTTTTATCTCTTGCATAGCTTCTCAGACCAGGGCCAAATTTTACAGGACATGTTTCTTGTGAATTTAAAAGGTTAATAATTGTAACTTGATCTTTTTAAAGGCAGTCCAAATTATTGTCTACAGTTCCTTTCAGCCAGGTGAGGAGAGCCGATTCTCTCTCTGCTGAAGGCAAACAGGCCTCTCCTGTTAAGTGGTAAAAATGTCTGAGTGATTTCCTTGAGGTCAAAATTCCTCCACACCTGTCTCCCATCTCCTCTTGGTTTAAAGATCTTACTGAGGAAATGCTGTTTACCACCATGATGTGTTTTCATTCTATTTTGAGGTGCAGCATTTCCCTCAGCTTTGCCCATGGTGTCAGTTTGGACTGCGGTCTCTGAAGCAGAATCGTTATCTGTACAGGGTTTGGTGTGAGGGGCTGTTTTCTTCACTGGCCTTTGAATACTGTCACCATAAGTGCATTTCTTGCAGTTTTAAATCATCCTGTTAGAAGTAGTGCAGGACCCCGTTATTAACTTTCTTCAGTAAAAACACAACCTCTTCCTCTTCTCCCCGCACCCAGCCTATGGCCCTGTATTTTCTTAGTTGTGCCAAAGCATCTAGTTTACTTGACTTCTTGGTAGTGTGAGGGTCTGGATGTAACAGGTACTGTTTTATCTTTTAGCCTGTAAGTCCATTCTTGCCCTTGTTGTTTTAAAAACCAGTCATCCCTTCAATGCTTAATTAATTAAATGGTAAGCTTGATGCGTTCAGATCTGCCTGGCACAGCCTGGAATGAGATTGGCACAGATTAGGCAGTTACACTCTGAACATAGGGATGGGCATTGTGTAGGTGCTGCTGCTGGGTTTTGTCTTTAAAACAAAATATAGACAAGAACTGTAGATGAGGTCCCGGATACCTGTGGACATACAGAAAGTTTTGTGCTGTATTTCATTTAATAGAGAGGATAAAACATTAACCTTTCATTCTGATGCAACTCTCCCGTTTGAATCAGCTGAGAAAGTGGGTGTAATGTGCATTGAGGTTACTAATATCAGGTTTTTTAATCCAAGACTGTCAGCCCAGCAACAAAAGAATAATCTGTTCACTTAGTAGAAAACACACAAAACCCCCTAGCTCTTGAAAATCAGCACCAACAGCATTACTGGTTGCTAGCTGGAATTTGCTTATGTTATAGGTGGCACTGTGTGTATGGGGCTGAAAGGAACAGGTGTCCTAATAAATTTCATGGTTATTCATGATTTCCCTCCTTTTTTCTTTAAAGTGGGAATTTCAAGTTTCACACCTTCTCAGATCAGCTGCTGAACTTCTGAATACTTTGAAGTGTGTAAGAAGGACTTAATGGAATGATTGATAAAATACCACAGTGGAACGTGTGAAGTAATGGATTTTCAAGCACAGTACTAGTGCAACTTTCCTGCAAATTTCAGATGCCTGGGACTTTTGTGAGGATGCTGAAGGGTGGAGTGTATTCGAGCACAGAAGACTTTTATGTAACATTGAAATACTGTCTTGGTCTGCCACAGGTTTGGTTTTTTTTGTGTGAAACCTCAGTAGTATGCCTGAAATGTGTACACTAAGCTCAGATCTCAAAGAGCGGAGTCTGTGTTTTATCTGTAGATATTTTGAGAGACAGAAGTGGGTGGCAGGGGAGATGCACAAAGAGCACAGAACGCAGTTTGAGATGGCCTTTAATGTAGGTAAAGGGGGGAAAACTGTTGAAAGTTCTTTGAAAGATTAGGTGAAACAACCCAATGTAAACTGAAGTCGTAGAGTAGGTTGGAACTTGAGGTTCTGTTTTACATGCTGGAGTTCTGGTCCTGTGTGGGAGATGCTTGAATTTGCTGCTCCTTTTGAGTGTGCAGGAAGAGTGGCAACAGAACAAAATCTTAATTTATGCAGTTTCTTTCATGCACTGGTGGAACGTATAATAAATCAGTAAGGGTAGCTGCAGGCAGCACTGATCTGGGCAGTGTAACAAGTGTACTTGAGCTGTTGGTTTGTCTGCCTGATTGGCCACTT